GTATTTGTTGAGGTATTGCACTGGAGATTCTGCAAGAGCTATACAGTGCTGTAAGTTTATGAAGCCAAAAGAGGGTTACTACGAGGCTATGAGCATATTACGTCAAAGGTTTGGAAGACCTTCGATGATTGCAGGGAAATTATTCGAGGCTGTTAAGGGTTATGGTGGTCAATTGCAGGATGACTCCCAGGCACTTACTGAGTTTTTAGATAATTTGCTAATTTACAAGAATGGAATGATTTCGATGAATCGCATGAGTGACCTCAACTCGAGTTTTATACTAGAAGTAATAGCAAGACGCCTACCTACTCGACTGCAAAGGAAGTGGGTGAAGATGAGCTCCCGTATGGAGGATGAGGGTATCAAGCCAAAATTTGATGATATCCTGAAACTAGTAAAAGATAGTGTCAATCAATCTATGAGCAAGTTCGCCAGTCTATTACATCTCACCCCTAGAATAGAGCAGTCTGAGAGTAAAACGCATTCATTGATGACGAGTAGGCCTCAGAGGGGTGGTTATCGAGAAAGCTCCATGATGTCTAGTAATGCATATAGACCTAGTGAGTGTAACAGGTTCCGTAGTACATCCTCAACAGATAAGTTACAAGCTGCAAGACAAACACGGTTGTGTTGTACACGTGTGCAAGAGGTGCATACAGAAGTGAACTGTGAACCGGTGAGCAAGTTCAGTGATAAGCTAAATGTAAACTCCAGGCTTGACTCCGAATTGTGTGACGATAACGGTGCGGTGAAGAAGTCTGTAGTTGCAACTGGTAAGCCGTTGTTGAATAAAGTGTCACAGAATAGAGTTGCTGCTTCAGAGTGCAGTTCTGACCCTACAAGTTTACAAGGTATTACCAGTCAGAGTGAAGTTATGAAACCTTTAATGATTTGTGAGGAGGAACCAAAATTGTCTACTTCTGTTAGTAAAGAGTTTGAAAGTGATGAAGTTGACGGTAAAGTGAATATTCGTGATAATGATCATGATACTTCACAGTTGTCTTTGGTTGATCATTATGAGATGAGGGATATGCCTACTACTGCTAAGTTAAATAAAGGTTCTGTACAGCTACAACGTGAAGTAGAATTGAACGCAGATGCAGTTCCAGAAGGTGTGCATACTTATGAGACAGTCAGTGTAATTGATCAGCGTGTAGCCCACCTATCGTCAGATGATAGTGCTAAACCTGAGCTGATAGTAAAAGACGGCAGTGGTGGTGGTCTTGCAGGTAGAAAAATTTCTGAAAGTCGAAAAAGAACAGCTTCTGATCCACCACTAAGTTCATCACCTTGTATCACTCAGTCGTCGTTGGTGTTGTCATCCACAATGAAACAGACGCCCATCAACTCAAGTATCTTGTGCAATGACTATGCTAGTATCAGTCCGTTTGAAGAGACGAAAGATATTGGTCAGTTTAGTGAGGATAAGCCAAGTGTAAAGGAGAGAGTAATTGTTAAATTGACTTGCACGAATAAAGGCATTTCTAGTTTCAAGTTACTATTTGAATGTTATAATCTTTGGTGTAAATTACTCTGTTTCTACACTTGGTTGATGAGATATGTCGTGTGTTTGTTCGTCATCTATATTTTACGATACAATGACATGGGCGTGTTGCCGTTCAGATTTGAGGATTTAGCTGATAGAAGGAAGTCAGCAAATGAACTCTGCGACGATTTTCCAACCTAGGGCGTCAACCTGAGAAGGGTTGTAGGCGTACTGGTGTAAGTCCTACAATTCTTCAAAGGGTAGCGCATCAATGAGCAGTCCAATGTGCTTGGTGTGTGATTTTGTACATATGTTCATATTGCATATACTGAATTGATATCATCTGTCATCTAGCTGTTGGTAATTCTGTTTGTGTCCGGACGACTTCCACTTGGATCATCAACCTGAGAAGGAATGTAGGCGTACTGCTGTAAGTCCTACAGTTCTTCAAGGGTAGTTTGTCGTGTCAGAATCCACAACATTTGATGTGTTGATTGTACATATGTTTGTGTTAAATAGTTGTGTGAGTTCCAATTGATGTAATTGTTGGTTAATCTTGTTTGTGTCTGGACATTCCACAACTTACAATCGTCAACCTGTGAAAGGTTGCAGGCGTACTGGTGTAAGTCTTCCAATTCTTCAAAATAATTCCACCAAGACATGATCCGCGAGGTTATTTGTACTGTTTGTGTATGCGTGTGGTGTGTCTTCGCAATTTGTGATTTTGGATCAGTTGTGTTTACTCGTTGTTTTCGTGTCTTGTTTTTATCGCATAATTTTGTTAAAATTTTCGTCGTGATTACTTCTGAAGTTGTTTCTTGTCTTCTACATCCGTGAATGAATTGATTGATGTTAAGGACAGCAGATGGGTCGTATACGCCGGGGAGGCTAGGCTATTGCTGAGAATGAAATGCACACGGAGATAATTGTTAGCTGCGGTCCGACACGCCGGGGAGAAAGAGTGTAAACGACTGAGGCTCGCATGCGTCACCGCTACTAGAACTGAGGTAGAATGAGTGACAAGCGATTGCAGTGGTAATTGGTAGTGAGTAGATGCGAGGATGTGCGTAGAGTATCATGAGTTGGTGCTATGGTCACGTTGCATTCTGCAAGAGTCATTCTAGCAAGTGGCGATTGTGTTGGAAGATGTCAAGAGGAGGTCTCTGTCTGGAGGCGCAGGTCGTCAGCGATGTGTGAGATTGTGCTGTGGGTATGCTTGTGGTGTGTTGGCTTTTCTGTTTGTTTTCCATTTCAGCTCTGTCCGTGTGACCCAGGTTCTCGCAATGGCATCCAAGTCAACGTGTATTGGTCGTGATGGAAAAAAAGGGATGGATCCCTTTTTTGCTGGGGAGTGTCAATGGAGTTGAAGATTGAACGATCAATTCTTGGTTGTTTGCTCAAAACCAACTTCCCCAATTTTCGCGGAGGCATCAATACGACAGTCATCGTCTCCTCGGTCGCTGTTCAGAAAGAAGTCAGCAGTAAAGCGTCAGAAGTAATACTATGATTTATTATTGTAATATTTGTTCACAGACCCTAGTAAAAACATTATTTATATATGTTGGAGTAACAATAAAGTATCCACGAGTCACCAATTGGTCTTTTGGTTTTTTCGTCCGTTATTACTAAGCGTTTCTGAAAAACTGCCAGGAACAGCGTGGGCCCGAGCGTAGCAAGATCTGGGCACTAACGGTTTACGAGACGTGACTGACAACTGTTGAAAAATTAAATAAATTTATCTCTGATCTTAACATAATACATCAATAAACTTTAAGCCAAGAGTGCCGTTCACAACAAAGTTATATAGGAGAATTGACTTCAAGCTTCTTTCCCAGATATCTGTATTACATTCAAGTGATGTCCGGGTTTTTTGTTAATGCGAAGACAATATTTCTATATTTCTTTATTTGTTGCACGAACAGACTTTATAGCAGACTATTCTGACTGACTGTAATGCCAGAAAGAACAACCAAACTGTAAATCCATTACACATCAAATTATGTGTAATTTATATAATAACTTATCCATGCCTGTACAATTGGTATGTTCCTGCATAAACAGGGAGAAATATATTATTATTAAAACAATATTTATGCATGCCTATACAATTGGTATCCTACATAGCTAGGAAAAAAATGTACCTTATTATATTATCTTTACTAAATATGCTTATTAATCTCATGTGTAACTTATCGAATTGATGATGCCTTTAAACTGGCGTCCCTCATGTAAAAAAATGAGAATATATATTATTAATATTATAAAACTGTCCATAGTCTGGTCGAATCATCACAGATAAACAACTAACTTTAGAAAATTGATAGGGGTCGGTCTAAGAGAGTAATTACCGTATGGCTCATCGTGCGATCTTATGATCTTTTATTATCTTTTTCTACCTTGACCTTGGACAAGCCGTCGACCAATCAAAAAATTCATTTTTATCGGGCATATACGACCTGCCTACGAATCGGAACAATCTATTTCGACTGCAACAGGTGGATTTGAATGCATATAAATATAAGATACTTTTCATTATTTGAATTATCAGCTTGAGATATCGTAGATGATGGAGGGTGTTTATGAAACTTTATTTTAGAAACCACCGTACATGGTGAGCGGAATATGGAATTCGGGATGGCATCCAATATTCAATGGAATAAGATCATGGAGAAGGTACAATTCCGACATGGCTACTCATTCTATCATTCTGAGTGGAAACACAATTCCGTGGCCCGTAATTTTTTCACCGTTGTTGCATTATACAAAAATCTCTAGTGTCACTGATAGCAAAATATTTCTAAATAATTCTGGCGAGTTTTCTAACCTGATCTATGTAAATTAGGATAACATGGACAGAATTGCACTGCATACGCCGTAGTCGGCGGGTAGTGTACCAAATTAATTTATACATGATGACATAGTATAACTCAGGGCTTCTGTTGCTTGGCAAAATGACAGTTTTGTATGGACATGTAGGCCTTGCGCATTAAAGTGTTAAATTCTAATTTCTGCAGGGCCTTAAATTTAGCCAGTTGTCCTAAATAGTGAAGGTTGGAAAACAGTACAGAACTAGATCTTTGTTTCAGACTTTCTTTTTGTAGATTATTATCCTGCTACGGTGTTGCTAAAAATGCAACAATGTTGTCTTGAGATCAGTTTTTCTAGCTCTGTGAGAGTTTAAAAAGTTGTTTTTGAGAATAGAAGTTTATGCTATTCCACCTTTAAGGGCTGGAATTTCATCTAGAATACGAAACTCTTATATCTGTTTCCGAGGAGATTGGAAAACCGAAGCAACAGATGAGGTTGTTGAAGAAAGGTTTGGTGGCGGGGAAAGCATCTTATACGATATCAGTACTGTTTCAGATGCCTCTTTCATATTTCTGGACACATTCTTAAATAAAGTTGATTTCCTTTACTCAAGGACTTCCCTCCGCATAAAGTTTATAGTGGGAAGCATTAAGAACTCTAAAGAAAGATAGCTGGAAATATTTCGTGCTTGTTGTTTGAATATTTCACATTGCGTAAGGGTTTCTCTGAGCAGGAGGTGAACCAGTGGTCTGAGCGCGGAATTTAAAACTCTGTTGAGTACGTCCAGTGTTTCTTCGTATTTTGTTTGTAGTGTTCGTGACACCATTTACTGTTTTTCATTCTTATCACTTCGTGATCATCATCCTTTGGTATATGTTGGCATGTATGTTTATGCCTTTGCATACGTTTTTACAAGTCTTGGTTAACAAAAGATACGTTCTCTGAAATGTATTGTAAGGGTATCTCTCATTGACAAACATTGTGGTTTGGGAGGTGAAACATGTAACGTGTTAGGAAGTTCTTACATCTGCACAATAATAATTCCTGAACCTTACAGGCTGTACTGGTATCCAGGTTTGTTTTCAGGGTTTATAATAATTAGCCTTGTACCTATGTTTCTGCAACCATACCTCGTTTCGTGTTTAGTTAGAAATGTTGCTAAAGTGTTTTATCTCTTTCCTCTGCTAATTTCCCAGTGGAAACTTCCCTTTGGTTCATAGAGTGTCTGGGATTTTTCCTAATTATTTTCTTATAACAATCCTGGTTCCGGTGAAAATGTATTGTGACGCGTAATATGCTTTATTTGAATCTCATCCATACCTTTAGTTGTGTGAAGTGTGTGTAGTGAGATGAATTCTATTGGCAAGGCACACCGTGTAGTTATTCCTACTGTCTAGAAATGTGCTTATCTCATCACGAATCAGTAAACTAGGTGTTTTTTTGTTGACTGTAACAGTAGCAGATTTGGTTCAAGTTTACATATCCGTTTGTTTCAACTATGTAGTGGTGGATATGTATTCCTCTGTGCTCATTTGAGAAGGAATAAGCTAAATTTCATACAAGGAATATTTTAGGAAATGTATTGCGCTCATATCGCGAAAGGTGACTAACAAATGGTGTCATGTTAGGTCCACTATGTATGAGAATTTATTTTGATAATTCACAGTGTTTTACAGTGTTATTGACTGATGACCGCGTTTCGAGCACAGTTTATTGCTCATAATCATATAAAGTAACTCACAACTCTGATTGTGTGTATCAGAATGAAATCCTTATCCATAATGCAGTTATACCCCACCAAAGTGCCCAAGTTTTATACTTGTGTCATGTTAAGACCTGTCGACATTTATATTCAGTTCCTATTGTTGGTGGATTGTATTTTATGACTGGATGTGTTCGGCTGATTAATAATCTGAGTGCTTTGTACGTAAATGCAACTGTTCAAATTCACACATTAAAAAGCTATAATTAAACTTAAAAGAAATAAGTGAAAACTACTTTAAGAGTTGATGTTTTCGATCGTTAATAATCAAATGAAAATTATTGAACAATACTGAAATATGAGAAGTACGATAGTGAACATATCTGTACTATTATTGTTGTTCAGCCATTCCAGTGGTTCAGCTATGGTATCGCTCTGGCCAGTAATCAATTACCTGCTTATCGTTACTTTAGATGACAGCCCTACATATCCTCATAATATTATACAAGTTGGATTAGGGGACTTCAATTAAAGCAATATAATTTTCCTACTTCTTTCACACCAAACATCGCCGCAAAATGGCTTTGAAGCCAGCACTACCTGATTTTTGGACAACTATGTGGTATCAAAATTCCCCATACAATAGTTGTGGCTGATTGCTTAGTGTATATGACTGAGTAACAAACGCATGCTCAATTAAAGAGAACAAGATTCAGGGGATCTGTGAACGACATACCTTTTTTTGGTGATCCGTTGTCAGTTGCAGCATGCAAAGGAATTTTAACACTATGAAATAAAGTCAGTTAACAGTAAAAGCTGTGTAGCAAGGAGCAGAAACAGATGAATTTAATAAATAGATTTGCGAAAAGACCACCTTTATATATCTTATTCAGCTTAAGGCAGGATGATTCGTGTGAATGGTAGAAAGATGTTCGGATACTTAGAAAATCTGGTTTAGTTAAATCCCTATTGGAATTCCGCACATTGACGCTTTCTATGGAACACAATCGTGTGTTGTGATTATGTATGTGTTTTGTTTTTGAGAGCAGTCTTCACAGTGTAACAGCTAGAAATGGATACAAATTTCCTCATAAATTCGTCAAGATATCAGTCTTCGCGGAGCATGTTTTTGACGAGAGATATGGTGCGATTGAAATTTTTCTACATTGCTACTAAGTATGATGACTCACGTCATCTAACTCTAGTTGATGCCGTGGCTCTCGATTGCATCAAATCTGATTAACATGTTTAGAGAAGCCGTAATTAGTTTCTCACATTGGGAATTTCCTTCTCTTTGACCAGATAACCTTCCAATTTAAATGGCTTCGTTTATCAAAAACACCTCATTCACTGACAGTAAAGTTCATTAGTCTGCATGTTGTTGATAATGGACCACTAAACAATATGATATCATCTTCCACTAAAAGCTATTCCTTATATAATAATTACGATATGCTTTAAATGCAGTGTACGTGTCTTTTATTCCAAATTTTTTGATAATTCGTAGATCTGTTAAGGAATTCCACTAGGTTTTATTGAATTTCTTTTATCACTGTTTCAGGTGTGGATGCAGCTTTGGAATTTACCACATCTGTTTTCGAGATTGTAAACTATGTAAGTCTGGAAGTCCAGTGGATTCACAGTCTTTAAGCTTTGTTTATATTTACGTTGTTTTTTATTTAGGTTTCGGACATCTATCGTACTCTCTCTGTAGTCACATCATCATGCTAATATAACGGACTGAATGCATGTCAAACATTCAAACAGTCTTCGGCAGCATCTAAGAAATATACCGTTTGCTCACTCTAAGTTAAAAGATATTTGTGTAGTCGTGAATCATTTCATATGATTTTGGAGTCACATGGACTCCCATCAGTACACTTATGTTAAGACTACATAAGAATGGTTTCAGCCGGTATGACCGTCGGATACTGCTGGTTCTTGTCATATCAGATGATAACACCGAGAAGTTCATCAGTAGCCGCGTGATTTCGAGTAGGATTTCTTGACTAGGTGAGCTTGCTTACTCATGATTCCACAAGAAACCAAACATTTCTTCAAAACTTCGATCGAAGGTTATCAGCATACAGGATTTAAGCTAGATCTTTCTCTAGGTTAAATAATCTAGAAAACTCTGTCAATGCTATACGTGCACTTGCATACAATCAAGATAGGGTGAGATATAGTTAAAAATATCAGAGTAATACTATTAGGGGGGAGGGGTTAATCACCGAATCTTTATCCATTTCTATGTTCTCATAATATTATTTTACGTCGGTTCTTGTCACTCAAAAGTGAGTTAATGCATTTGATGCATAATATATGACTCATAGGTTTACGTACTCTATTTTCAAGTGGTACGTCACAAAGTTGAATCCTGCCTTATCCAGCGTGTCAGCTAGGTATTATCAGTAGTCTTCACACAAAATTTCTCTCTTTTTACACGCGATTGCTGAGTTGCACAACAGCTGGAAGACTAAGTAATCGAAATAATCATGAGCATTATACTTGCCACTGTTATGTCACGAGATCATAACCATTTTTCTTTTTTAAATGGTTTATCTATTATGTAATAAATTTGGCTACTATACATACAAGCTAGATACTGTGTGTGAATTGAAATGGCAATAGATTGATAGAATTTAAGTAGCCATTCTACTATTCGTTCGCCCTAGCCGGTGTATTCAAAGATGGTCATCGTTTTTTTAATCTTGAAAATCATCTCAATTCCATGGCTAATATAATCGCAGCAAATTTCATTTGTTAAAATTGCCTTTGTAACATTAGCTGTGTGAAATTTTATCCAAAAATATTTTTGAATTTTCTGACTGCATATATATATATATGTACAGAACGTGGCACCTAACCTCTGCGTGCTGTATGTATAGATGTATATCCAGTTGTTTCAGTGAAATAATTAATTTCACGGCATTTATTGTTGTGTCTGATTTCCAGTTTCTAAATGTGTTCACTTCTAACTGAATACACACATTTACGAGATAAAGTCTATTAGTTATTTGGTGAGTGTTTGGTTACATAAAAATGCAGCTATTTTGTAATCATGTAGGCTATTGCCTGCATCTTTGCTCATCACTGTGTGAATAAAATGTTTCTTCGCCCTATAATTACTCTTCATTGCTGACTTATTTAGCTGAAGCGGCATATACAGCATTACTCACTGGTCATCAAATAATAATGTATTGCAGTGTATTACATTAAATAAATTGCTATATTACGAAATTATTACTCTTTTACGGGGCAAAGTTCCATCCATAGGTTAATAAAGGTTTAACTAACTGAGTTTCAACGCAGAATTTTGCAGAGAATTGCAGCAGTTCCGGTTGCCACACTCCTTGTAGCAATAAAAGGTGTAAAGAAAAAATTCAAAAAACTATAATAAGCGGAAATGTCGGGGAGAATAGTAATACGCAGTAACCATAAAAATATAATGGACCTGGCAGATTACAAAAAGAGAAACTGTTTTTTGGCGTATCAGCAGCAGTTCCCAGCTGTTGGTTTTTAACATTTCCAGGATTCCAACGAGGCAGTCTACACCTCACTACGTAACTCAAAGAAATCGGCAAAGACTTATGACCTTGGTTTAACCATCCCTGACTCCTTTACATCCTGCTCCAATGCCAGCTAACATTGCTAAATATAGAGTGCGTTGGCTTGGCACGCGTAACAAATATCGTAGCCACCTTAACTTTAATCAGGATTGATATATAAGCGGCAAATGACTTTCGTAAACCTTATGTATATACAAGTTTTCTTTTCACATTTAGGAAAGTCAGAATTAGAGGCTTCAGATGTCGGCGTGTTTTACTTCTTATCTCTACCATATTAATTGTCCTGCTTTTAACAAGTTTTCTGGCTTCCCTGTTTGACGAAACAGTAAGTAGTTTCACTATTACGTGTAAAATATTTATTTCGTTTACGAAATATATTTTTATTTAATTATATTCTGGGGATTGCTCTGAATGAGATGTATGATTATGGTATGGGTTCGCTCTGTCTTTTAATCCTCTCGGTAGATTGTCAATTAGTCTCCTTAATAGTGATTTATACGTTAAATCATCTAACTATGAAGTACAAGATGGACAGGAGCTTATGACTGTACTTGTTTTTGGTTCCGAGATTTTAGAGACATTTGAAGTGTTCGCATACCTTTGCATTTACTCAGATGGTGGTAAGGGAGTCTCAGATAAGATCAGACATTGTGCATTTAAAACCTGAGAGACATACGCTAACTTCTGTTATCTTCGTTGAGATTCGTCTGCAGTTTGAATATACAGTGTCTTCGTAAGAGTAGATCTACTCGTCTGTAAAAGCTGGCACCACACACCAATCATAGTAAAAAATATAACATTTCAAGTCTTTTATCTTTAAGTTATGTCTCACCGTCGTACTTAATAAAATATATTCGGTTACTATAGGTAAAACAATAGTGAGAGTAAATGAACTTATATGTGATGACAGATTACAATAAGTTTTATTGAAGTAACAAACGACGAATAAACACTGGCATACGAAAATAGTATTTACTATCAACATCTGGGGGTATTTTCTCTACTTGTGGTTTTTTTTTAAAACTTGTCTTATGTTTTTTGACGCGTTAATTCATTTCTTTCTTTCTTCATATTCCTAAGCAATTTGATGTAAATTATTATTACTTTTCTAGTGAAATCGTGCCATAAAACTTGTATGCACTCTTCTAAATAGAATGTATCATAACTGAGTCACTTTCTTGAAGCAAAAGTCGATTCGGATCAGTCACTCAGTCTGTCTGTCTGTCTGGATTCAACATAGAACTTGGCACCGAAGTGCATCAGTTCGAGTTGCCACGTTACAAATAGCACACAGAGGTAGACAAGAGGATGAGTGAAGAGAATCAATACAGTCTGACAAGTATAATAGTGAAACAGAATGGGTAATGGTAGAAAGGAATATGAAAGATTACAGAGACTGAATACATCTGCGCTGGCCATTGACAACGATTTTGACCCATGTCACCTATTGTCTCCAGCCATTGATTCCTAGAGTCCCGAGGGCCCCAACCCGGGAGTCTGCATCTCCCTACCTGACTCAGTTTAACTGTCAAGGATTTCATGGATTGATGACATGTTTTTGTTTGGCCACCACTGGCTCTTTTCCAACCTGCACCTATATCAGCTAGTAATGCCCGTCGAGGGGGGGCGATGGTTAGGCATGCGCAGCACGTGACCTAGCCATCTCAATCTATGTAACTTTATAGCTTCGTCGATTGATTTTCCCTCTCTGCCCAACACTCTACGCCTAACGTCAACATTACTTACCTTGTGAAACCACCTAACGTGAAACAGAGATCGCAGACATCTATGATCGAAAGCAGTCAACCTTTTCATGTCGTCAACTCGTATTGGCCATGTTTCAGAGCCATCTCATATCTAGATGTGAACTATGTGCTGAACACAGAGATACATTCATACTTTTTATGTGAAGTACCTCATTAGATGGAATTTCGGTTTACATCATTGGGCTTAAATAAAAGCGCAGTGAAAAAGAGTCAACACAAGAGAAATCAAAGTAGTAAAAGTGGTATCTATAGTAATGAAAACTGAGCATCAGTAAAGAGATGTGTAGATTAATGATCACATTCAACTAATTATAGCAAAATAAGAATCAAATACATATACACTGCTGTGTTTACTTTTCAGCTAGATTGTGCCTCCATAGTTCAATTTCAGCATGGTACGATAAAGGTAGATGTTACGACAAACTTATGGGTAGCAATTTTGACATTGCCGTAAACATTAATCCAAATTCTCTAGTGAAAATCAACCTTGTTTATGAGTTTAGCGTTATACGTTGCCAACATTTATGTAAATTTATTTTAAAGTGAATTGTACGTCTTTCGCTGTTTATAGTGTGTAAACTATTACTATCTATATTCGCTGTTTTATTTCGAAGGACAATAAGTCATCTGCATCGAGTTCAATATCATCGAAAGTTGCTCCCGTAGTCAACCATCCGGAAAGTGAACAAGATCATCAAATTCAAGCACCTGTTCAAGTACCGCCAGTTATAAGCAGTGATGAAAATGTTCTACCGAAAATTCCTGTTAAACAATCTCCTGTTTCTGAATCGCCTTCCTCACTTAACGTTTTTAAGCTGGGGACACCAGTTACCCAGGATGAAACTCAAGGTGGAAATCCCTCCAATATAACAGTCTCTAAAATGCGTGATAAAGTCAGGGAGGTAAGCTACAGATTATATACTTTTATAGCATAGTTACCAGTATTTCTGTGTGCTCAGCCATTATTTCAGTGTGCTAAAGATGTCAGCTATATATTTTAGTTGTGTCGCACATAGTCTTACACAGTACTTTCATACATAAGGCATGCAGACCGGTTGAGACATTTTCATAGTGTAATTTGTTACTGGCTTTTGATGTACGTCGGTGGCACAGTGGTTAGGACTCTCGCCGACCGTGCACATGGTCCGGGGTTCGAGCCCACGCCGGCGCACACCTGATATCTATGGTCGGCCTGTAAAATTTGGGCTACCGATATCCATGCTGAAAATTCCATACTTGTACCAAAAATACAGTGTGGAATCAAGCTGTAAATCACAAATTAAAAAAAAATAATGAGTGATAGCCATAATAATATTAACAGATACAGAATCCAAATGACGATGCGCAAAAGTTTACAGTAATCATTTGTCTCTTATTCTGATGGAGAATGCACACGTTTATAAGTGTATAAACCCGTGCACTAAATAAATGCTAGTTAACAAGATACTCAGTATTTTGCTTCACATGTTATATATATATATATATATATATATATATATATATATCGTTTTTATTCTGTACAAGTGTTATGCAAGATCAAAACATATTCTATCTACGTTAATTTCAATATCTAACCTTGAAATGTTAAATTTCATTCCCGATTACTTCATCAATTATTGCATGATAACAAGTGTGCCTTACTTGTTTATGCTTACAGTTAATGTAAATCAATTTTAATGCAAAAGCTTTTCTGTAGTGCGTTGTAACTAACAGGTAGTGCTATAAGTAAAGTTTGTTCAGAAAAAAGCAGAGCATTTTATTCAAAGCCTGATAACAAGACACTTCCTATGGTTACCAATTAAAATAATGTGTACAGCATTCTTTATTATTAACCTAAGTTTCAAAGGTGACATCACGTCGGATATTCTAACGCGTAAATTTTTGAAAACACATTCATCGTTAGCTTCTGAACTAGATCTGTGATCAACACAATAAACCAAGTGTAAGTTGCTGATAAAAGTCAATTCAACGGGTATCTATAAGTTCAACTGTCCCTGTGTTAGAGCTTTAAATATTCAGACTTGCAGACCTATCTATATTTGATTATTTAAAGAAGCAGTCGGGTTTCATTTACCAAACAATGGACATTTTTGTCTCTTAATTATGGGGATTAACATCAGCAAACATGTATGTGTAACTCACGATCGGTTCTACACATTACTTTTTCTTCCCGTTTTCGTCTCTCTGTCTCCTTGTTAATTATCCAAACATATTAGGATATCCGACAGCTGCACGACAATCCTGCCATATCTCATCCAGGATAATGACTGCTAGATTCAACTCAAAATGAAGTAGAGTGACAATTGTACAGTGCTATACTCCCACAAACAATGCGGACTTAGAAAAGAAAGAAGAGTTGTATAGACACCAATGGCCAGTACTCCAGTTTGTGAAATTAAAATTCCAATGGGCGACATGAACGCCAAACTGGGACCTGACAACACAGGAAGAGAACTCATGTGTCGAGAAGCACTTGGAAAGATGAACGAAAACGGAAAACTCAAAGAAACGGGAGCTGCAGATAGACTACAAGCTAAGTTCATGCTCAAAAACTGAAGGATCAGGCCACAAAGGACATTTTCACTGCATTCATAAGGAAAAAGGCAAAGATATAAATCAACACTAGCGAAGAAACCAGCGCTGAAAAACATTGGAACAGCCTGAAAGCGATGTGGAGTCAAACCTGCATGGAAGTTCTAGGCAGAAAGAAGAGATAGGACAAATAATGGCTCATTACGGACACATGGAGACTAAGAGAGGAAAGAAGGGTGATGAAACAAAAGATTGTCCAGTGCATCGACGAGCAACAAAACAGGAGTTGAATGCAAAAGTAAAGAGTGAAGAAAAGTGCCAGGGAAGACAAAGAAAAATGTTATGAGATTATGGCAAGTGAAGCAGAACGAGCTGCATGCAAAGGAGACCTCAGGACACTTCCAAACAACTAGGTTCATATCAGGGAGGAGATCAACGCAAATGAAGTCATTGAAGGATGACAGTGGAAAGCCAATCACCAAAGAGGTGGAGCAAAGGAAACACTGGGCTGTGAACACTCCAAAAGACTTCTAAATCGACCTCCACCTACACCGCCCCTAATAATACCAACAGTGGTAGCAGAACTACCAGCGGATACCAACCCTCCGACGAAAAAAAATTTTGAGGGCCATAAAAATGCCAGGATCTGGAAAAGCATCAGGATTATACGGAATCCCCGGAAAGCATTGAAAATGGACCCAGAGACATCAGCAATTTTGATGACACCACAACTGAAGATGTGGAGAGAGGGCAAGGTACCTGCTAATTGGAAGAAAGGCTACTTATTCAAACTGTTAAAGAAAGGAGACTTAAGTCAATGCAAGAATAGGGGCAGCATTGTACTCCTGTCTATATCCCAAGTAAAATACTAAGCCGCATCATCAAACACTCCCTGGATGAAACACTTCGACTGGAACAGCCTGGATTCAAGAGAAACAAGTCATGCATCGCTCAAATTGCAACACTACGAATCATCATTGAACAGAGCTTGGAATGGCAGTCAACTCTCTGTCTCAGCTTCATCGACTTTGAAGTGGCCTTCGAAAGCGTCGATCAAAAGGTGATTTGGAAACTACTTCACTACTACAAGGTGCCGCCAGCAGTTATACACTTTATCCAACAGTTATACGATAGTGCTACATGCGAAGTAATCCAACGCGGGAAACTCACGGAATCCTTCGAAGTAAAAACATGAGTAAGACAGGGCTGCCTGTTATCTCCGATGATTTTCCTAATTGTGGTAGTCTGGATAATGCGGCTGATGGACAATGGGCAATGAAGAGGTGGGCATAAAATGGACTCACACAAAAAACTTGGAGGATCTGGACTTCGACGATGACATATGTCTGATTTCCCGCAAACTGGAAGATATGTAAGTGAGGAGCAACAAGTTGACCGTAGAAGAAGCATCAAACGGAGGCCTTTAGGTGAACATAGAGAAAACACAGGTGATGAAGATTCCTGGCCAACAGCGACAGACAACAATCAGCATAAATGGGAGAAATCTGAAGGGAGCAAACTCCTTCAGCTATCTGGGAAGCATCGTTTCAACTACAGGACCATGCACGTGGTCCGTGGTTCGATCCCCTGTCGACGCACACCTGATATCCATGGTCGGCCTGCAAAATTTGGGCTACCGATATCCATGCTGAAAATTCCATACTTGTACTAAAACTACGTTGTGGAACCAAGCTGTAATCAAAAACAAAACTGACGAGGATATCAAAGCAAGGCATACTCTTATTACTTTCAAGTTTGTGTGGAGATCAACAGCACTCAACATGAGAAATAAGATCCGGATTTTCAACTCCATTGTGAAGTCAATGCTACTTTATGGTTCAGAAACTTGGCGCGCCATGGAGGGCACTTCGGAAAAAATACAGACCTTCAATAGTTGTCTTCGCTCAAAATCAGATGACCAAGAAAGATCAGTAATAGGGATCTCTGGGAAGAAACCAACTAGGAACCAATTGTGCAACAAGTATGCAGGAAGAAATGGAGGTGGATTGATCATACTCTGAAAAAACCATCAAGTGACATCACACAACAGGCCATCACTCAAGTGGGACCTGAATGGGAAGCGGCGAGTTGGTCGTCAGTGCGAGGGTGACATGGAGGAGTTCATGTGGAGAGGAAATGAAACCATGTAGGCAGATGTGGAGCCAGGTGAAAACGTTGGCAGAGAACCGAACGCAATGGAGACGTGTGCCTGAAGCCTTATGTTCCTTTAGGAACTAAAAGAGAATAATAATAATAATGGAATGCTGAAATTACTTCATGACATTCGTGACACTTATGATCTGGATATTTATATATCTATTTTGTATGATAATAACTTTATGACGTTTATGCTGAATGCAATACACCTATTAGTTACCAGCTAACTTTACTTTAACTTCTCTCACATATGCTATTCACATGATATTTTTGTTGTTAAATTAGAGCTCAGCTACATAACAGTGAGTTCATTCTGTAGTTGACAAACACTTACATACACTTCAGTACTTTTAACAAAACATAATAGATTCCTATTCTTAGATTTCATCTCATCATATTGTGATAGTTTTTGTTTCTTATTGATTTTAAATTAAATAAGGAAAACTAGATTGATTGTATAATTATGCCATCTCTAAAAGAATTTATGCATTCAGTTTAATTTCCATGTATTCTTATTGCTGTACATTAATTAGTTCATGTTACCCACTTCTTCATGATTTTATAACCTGGAAAGGAAGTTACTGAACATATTTACTAGCCTAAGGTATATATATATATATATATATATATATATATATATAAGCTGTTGAAACCTATGTTTTATTAGGAACACAAGGATAGATGACTAAATCAATAATACTGGCAATATTTCCTCCACGTGAAGAATTTAAAGCAAATAATAATTGCAAAAACATTAGCAGTATTCAGTGAATATATTAATTTTGTTAGGAGTAGCCAGCTGAGTTCTGCACATATGATTATTCAAATCAAATTGAAAGGTTTACAAACACTAATATAAGCTGACTGCAGATAACTGTCAAACTGAGCAAATGTGTGATCGATAGCAAATGATTGATGAATTGCAAACGTAATTCTGAGGAACAGATTTGTCATGGCAGACATGAAGGGAATTATGAACTTCTAGACTTTAGAAAATGTTGGTTTGAAAGAATCTATCAGCTGCAAACATATAAACCAAGGTGTAAAAGTCTGTTGTATTGAACACCATAAATAATTTACAACATGCATGATAAAGATCAGTACTCAACTAGGGCTTCAATTTTCAAATGAAACAAGGAGCACAATGGCAACTTATTTATTGATTTTATTATTACTACTATTGTTTCTTAAACCCATCTCTCTGATCGTTAAATTATATGTAACTTCAGTCATGTGTGTTTTGTCATTTGAATCGTACAAATATTACCATACTGAGATAGAATGTAGTTTGATGCATAATATGTAGGATTCTTTTTTTGTTTTATTGTTTTAATTAAATACACCGATCACTGAGGTGTACTGAAATACAATTACACAGTTTTCTCGTGGATAATGAAGTGACTTGTTTATGAAAAGTAATAACTATGCTATGTGGGACGAAAAGATCATTCTATTTTTTGGTAACTGATAGCATTATTTTTTTGTGCAAATACTTTACACTTCTTAATGTAAATTTTATATCAAAATAATTTACAAATACGGTGAAAATCTCCAGCATAAATGATTTCTAAAACTATTTATTTAATACTTATCTGTGAGGTATTTATATGAATTCCGCTAAAGGCCTAAAATACACTCGATAGGTTAGTGATGCTACTGAAAATTGTTCATTAAAATACGAATGCACCAGTCCAGTATTTATCTTGGTCATTTAATTATCCTGCCTTTGTATTTATCAGTTTTTGTTTTTCACCTGTTCAAGATATAATTCAATTGATCTTATGAACACCATTTTGTTTTCAAGTATTGGTTTTGTGATGATTTTGTTTAATTGGTCAGAGGATTTCATCATGAGCTGACATCAGTTCGAACCCTGGTGGTGGATGTGTACTGATGAAGAGTCCCAAACTAGGTATGAACAGTTGTCCAGTACTACTAGGTTCTCTATCTGATGTCACCTTATGATGAAATCCTCCAACTAATTTGTTTGTTTATGTGCAATTCCCTTGCCATTTGATAATTGATAATTTTTTCTTGAAAAAATCTTCACGGGAATTTTCGTTAAATTATATCCTACTGTCTGTCTGTCTGTCTGGATTCAACATAGAACTTGGCACCGAAGTGCAGCAGTTCGAGTTGCCACGTTCCAAATAGCACACAGAGGTAGACAAGAAGATGAGTGAAGAGAATTAATAGAGTTTGACAAATATAAGAGTGAAACAGAATGGGTAATGGTAGAAAGGAATATGAAAGATTACAGAGATTGAATACATCTGCGCCATTGACAACGATTTTGAGCCATGTCACCTATTGTCTCCAGCCATTGATTCCTAGAGTCGCGAGGGCCCCAACCCGGGAGTCTGCATCTCCCTACCTGACTCAGTTTAACTGTCAAGGATTTCATGGATTGATGCCATGTTTTTGTTTGGCCACCACTGGCTCTTTTCCAACCTATATCCTACTTGTAATGCTAATAATTTTCTCCAAGTGATACTAAGTAGATTTCTCTTGTCATTATTCAATAATTTATAGTTGTTGGCATTCATTCAATATTTGGAAATATTGTCTGGAAAAAACACTTAAGTAAAAACTGCCATTTTTTTCTGTATAATTTTAAATAAATCCAAGTGTCATCATACTAAGGTGTGGAACTGTAGCTCATTGGTCTAGACACTCGACTTCAATCCATCGAGGTTTGGGCTGCTAGGTACCATCACTAGTCTCTCATACAGTAGGTGTGGCACACTGTCCACTGCATGCAATTGTAAGTGGTCGCTGAATATATATATATATATATATAATCTATCATATTAAACAATTGAAAGCAATGAACATCTATAAGTCTCACTACACTGGTTACTGACGTTTATCTGAAGTAAATGTACTCCTTCTAAAGTCAACATAGATTGTATGTTGTGGAAAATGAACTTTTCTGAATGTATACTGATGAGAAGTACAATTATTTCAACAAATGAATTCATTTTTCATACTCATTAGTGCAATACACTCATAATTTATATAATTGTTTCTGACATGGCTTTGGTCTGTCAGCTTTACAACTTATTTTCCCTTCTGAAATAAATCAGCAACATGTACAGACATAAGGTTTCTTCTGTACTTGTCAAGTGCATTCAATTCATTAATCATTTTATTTATTTGTAGGTTTAAAATTCAAATACTTAATTTTTATCAACGTACACTTTATTATATTAGTATTGTGCTGTGGTGATTCACTTTTATTCATTTCCCTATCTATATAAAATTGTTGACACGCTACTCCTACTACGTTTTTGTCATTTAATTTATTTTTGAATTTCTATTTTGCTGGGTCGTTTTTTCTATCACAAAAGTAATTTAGTGTATTTGGCATTTATCAAAATCGAACCGTTTCAGTGGGAATCAGTCAGCAACTGTTTTGTATGTATGAACAGTGCTCGTGTTTCTACCAAATATTAAAAAAACGGATTAGAACCGTGTAGAGTGTACTTCAAAGTTATGAAAGTATGTTAAAATAATTATATGTAATGAATTAGGCTCAGAAGTTATTCACGAGACAGTACTGTTACATTGTGCAACTTGCTCGGCAAACAAATATCGATTAAACTGAATAATAGGTCTTTTTATAATTCCTGTAGTTGGTTGGTTGACATGGTTTGGCACTTAGTTTGATATTTTTCGGACTGATTTGCGTGAAATGCAGGATTCTTGATTATTTATTTTCCAACCTCTGTCATGTTTTTTTACTCTTTATTTTCAGATGATGAAATTTGCTTGGGATGGTTACGCCGCTTATGCGTGGGGAAGCAATGAATTGAAACCTATTTCGAAATCAGGTCATTTACCATCTGTACTTGGTAACATACCACTTGGCGCTTCATTAATTGACGGTCTGGATACTTTGTACATGATGAACTTAAATAAGGAATTCAATGCTGCCGTTGAGTGGATTGAAAACAGTTTGGATTTTTCTCAAGTAGGTTTCATAGATTCTGTCAAGAATGTATTATTTTACTGCATAGTTTTCTGTTATAATTAGGTGAGAAATCTTATCAGACAGAGTCTCAAGATTGTGAGAAATAAAATTGAACTAAACTAAAATATATAAGAACCACTTTTCAGGTAGTTTGTATTTACTTTGTATTTGGTGCCATCTCATGTATTGCAACATGGTCACTATGACTGAAGCTGTACAGCATTTAACTACAGCTCTTGAAGATATCATACTGACAAAAATACTGTATAGTGTACTATTTATCACATTTGAGTTCTATTTGGAATAGCGAAAAGGACTTTCAGCTCGGAGAAGACTACAACACATACATATATGTCACTAGTGGGTTATGTTTGTAACTACTGCTAGACATTATCTGTACACTGGAATATTCTGTTCAACTTGGTGGTTTGTAATTCTCTAAATTCTCAATGGTAAAATAGTTCACTGTCTTTACTTCGACTGTATAAAAGTTGTTTAATTTTAAATAACTGTATTAAAGGTACCTATTTTTACCTAGTCTGAAATATCTGAATTGCTACATTATCACTTGATTAAAGATACCTATTGTAAATTTCATATGACTAATTGAAGTGAAAAAAGAATATTTTTACTGACAAAGAATATTCTTTTCGATAATTTCTTCATCAAATTCTACGGTCATGTTGTCATTAGCAACATTGTTTTTTAAATGAAACCTGATCAATAAAACCAATGAAATGACTATAGCTCGAAACATGTGTTTGCAGTAATGTGTGTAAATGCAACACTACATTAAATATGAGGTAAATTAAGAAAAATGATGCAGTTTTATGAATTTATAGGTTCCATAGCAGCAGTGTCCAGTCGTGTTTCTTTTGTGCACAGAGTTCTGGTATTTTAAGCGTATTGCAATGGCCTCTGCTATCTAGAGTCTTCGATAGTTAGAGGCTTGATTTTCTAAAACAATTGGTCCCTTTAATATGTTTGAATAAGGCATTTAGAAGACAAATTTCCCGAGATGATATCATTTCTTAGTTTCTCTACAATCGCTGTACAACTAGCATTGTTCACAATAATAAAATAAGATAAATGACAATTACTCAGGTATATAAAACAAAAATACATACTAATGACCAGTCATATTAAGATAGGTCATGTTGTCCATGGTGGGCGAAGGTTGAAGTCTATTGTTTTTTGTACACAGTTCAGGATGTATATGATTAATCCAAAGTGCTTCCATCACTTTTAATAACCCTGAGTTATGTGAACCAATTGCGAAGCCGTCATTAATATTGATTGTGTAAGCTGACAGTAATAAATCACACTAAGGATAGACCACATCTTGAAAACTCCATTATGGATAAGTTTTTATTTTTATTTATCAAAATAAATCTTATACATAATGGAATTATACTCTACTATATTGCCCAAATTTTATCCTTATATCAGCAGTAGCTAAGTTAAGCCACACCTTTGATTGATATGCAGATTAAACTACAATAATAGTCATAAGTAAGAAGAAGATTATATCACCTAAGCAGCATCAAATGAAGAATTTTCCCTGAGGAAATCAGAAAATAGAAAACACCATCCACGCAGTTAACATCGATTGATTTATACACAAAGCGGTAAATATATCTTACCGTATATGGTTTTGTTATTAACAGAAAATATTAAGTTTTCATTGTAGAAATGTGAACATAAATGCACAAATAGTGTTTCATAATCTCACACTGTGAATCCCACTCAGTAAAACTAAGTACAAGCGGACAATAATACAATCAAATACAAATACAATCAAGCAAAACTAAATGAACTTTGTGTACAATTCAGTGGTGGCATGTTGCTAAGGCCATTAAAACGTACAGGATTATGTAATGAAGTGAATAACCGTCAGACTGCAATAGTTTCAAAATTAATTCATTCAAATGAAACATGTGAGCCCGTCACAGTTGAAGTGAATAGAGTAGTTATTAAAATTAAGATCTTTTAGGTGAAATTTAACCACTTACTCTAACTTTCATATGTCCAAGATTTCAAGAATAAAGAGGAAATAACACCACTGATTTCGGGACACCAGGGCAAAGGATGACTGATAACTGTTTCTTTCTGAACGCATAAATTGGGTTTCAGGCGCTTGATAGAAATGGCTTCGGCAAATTTGAGGAGAATTGAGCTCTTTTGCTTTTTACTCACTGTGGGCCATGGATATGAAAAATAAAACTAGCCTAATTTGTATTTCCGTGATTGTTAATTGTATATTACTGATCTGCACTACATTGTCTAACTTGAATCAACTTGTACTATTTTCTTGTGTGACATTTAATAACTAAATCCAAGACATTAATGACACTACCAGTATTATTCCATATGCGAAGTAATCTCAAGAAAATAATATACAGGATTTGTTTTCTTCATTCACCTATTTTTGGTTTTGACATGTTTGTTGTATTATGACATTTAGTTGGAAATCACATCAATATTTCTCTCTCTTTGTCCTATGCACACATACTATTACTAAACCCCCTATTCTTATTAAAGGTGGATAGAGTCAGTTGTATGCCTTGAAATGTTCTATGAAGGTACCTAATTAGCTCCTTTTATCAAACTTTGTAATATGCTGTCTATCTCTAGTGTTCCCATAAAAAGGGGAAAATGAAAACAATTGTTTTGTGCTTGTCATCAGATAAATGAACACCAGCTTAGAAAACTTCGACAGTAGCAGTTACAGGATTAGATTGTTTACCTGTTGTCTTGAGATGTTGTGTCCCGCTGATTTACTGTCTTGTAGATTGATTGAACAGTTTAGTTAATGGTTATCCAGTTAGCATCTCAGTTCTGGGATAAGTTGTCAAAAAGCTGTCTACCAATAATAGTGTTCTTAAAACACTTCACACTCTCACTATCAGAAGTAGTTATATTAGACTGGTGTAAGTAATTCATTTTCTCAATATACGAGATGGGAGACAAGTCTTCATGTGGTAATCACAGGGAGATAAGCTTGACTAATGTGGTATCTAAAATTCTAGGCTAAGTAATCATGCGTGGATTAAGTGGTGCTCGAGAGAAACAAACTCCAGAAAACCAGGTAAGGTTTAGACCAGGAAAAGGGTGTATTGATCATATCTTCACTGTGACAGATTTTGAAACATTGGCGTACTTACCGTCGTCAAACAGTTGTCATATTTTTTTATACGAAGCCGGAATTCGACAGTGAAACCGTTTATACGTGAAGGGAATGCCGGTAAAGCACATTGTACTGACCAAGACTCTCTACTCGGACTCATGCAGCCAGCCAGGTGACATCCTACATAGAATTGTCATTTGAAGCGGGGACAAACAGTGGTGTCCGTCAGGGATGCCCACTGTCCCCACTTCTGTTTTTATCTCAACATGGGTGTGCTAATGGAATTGACCCTAACTAAGCGAATCGGGAATTGACTTGTTATCAGGGTATATTTTTGTTGACGTAGAATATGCGAATGGTATAGTCCTGCTTCTTGGTGAAGACGCCGATAAAATGCAGAGTCTTCTGAACACCTTGGGGAGCGGGAATCTTCGAATATTTGGTGTGCAATTCGCTCCTGCTGTCAAATGTAAGATGATGCTACAGGACTGGATTACATTGACTCCAAGCTTAAAGATAGGCAGGAGTGAAGTGGTAGAGCGTGTTGACCCCTTCACTTATTGGGGAAGTTACATCAGCACCAACTGACTGATTGTTGACGGATACTCAGCATCAGTACGAAAGACTGGGGATTTGCCAAATTACATCATCTCTGGCGTAGACGTAATATCCGGGTATTGATCAAAGGACTTGTGTACTGCTCAGCAGTTCGCTCCGTCCTCTTTTATGGGTGTGAGGGATGGTCATTGAAAATTGAAGATGTGAATAGACTAGCTGTCTTTGATTATAGGTGTCTGCGTTCTATCTCCCGCGTAAGTGGTGTGATTGGGTGAATAATATTATGGTTAGGAGTCGAGTGGGTTAGATAAGGAGAGCGAATCTATCGATGAGATTGTGAAGCTACATTGATTGAGGACATGTGTTACACATGCCTAACCATGGCCTTCTTTAGCGGTCAATGTTGGCTGATATACCATCAAGTTGGAAAGAAGCTGGTGGTGGTCAAACCAAAACTTGAAATCAGTCTTTGAAGTCTTTAACAGTTAAACTGAGACATGTAAGAAGGTGTATGCTTCCTAGTTTGGGGTCCTGTGCATCTTAAGAACTAATGTCTCTGGATAATTGGTGATCTGGCTCAAAATCGTTCTCAATGGCGTAGATGCATTCACGCCTTGTGAGTTCCCATATTCATTGAACCCTATTTTTTCAATGTTACTATTCTTTTTCACACAATTTGGTTATTATTATTGTTCTTTCGGATACCTTTTCGTCTCTTTTTCTGCCTTTGTATGCTGCATGGAATTCAGCAGCTTGAACTGCTGCACGTCTGTACAATGCTCTATATCAAAACTCAGTCATAAATTCTATGTTCGGTTTTGTTACTTTAATCATATCAAACCGTTGATTCTCACTTTATGATATAGATCATGTTACTGTTTTACCTTTCACCATTACACTCAGCTGTTATGACATTTTTCAAATACATATGCTGTTTTAATTCTTCAGATAACTGCTTTATACAAAAATACCCTACAATGTGATGTTTGAAATAAAAGTACTGTAACCATGCCTATCGCCTTAAAGATTTGCACAATAGGCGTAGCATGGACTTTTATATGAGAATCTTCAGCATATACGCTTACATCTGAGTTGTCTTGATAATCATTGTTTGTGTATAATGTCATTCAGCCAGTAACCAAATCGTGTGAATAATTTTAATGTCAAGTTGAATGTATTTTATTTCAAGGGAGGTTATTACTCACAAATTGAGGTCTTCACACATTATCCCTTGGATACTGATCATACATATATTGCCCGTTGATTGGAAAAAGCTAAATACCAGTTAGCATATAGAGTATAACACTGATATAGTGGGGTATTCGCGTTGAGGGTTAACTTTTGTTGTTGTCACAGTTTTTTCAGGTATCATCTGAGTAACCATACATCTAAACAGTTTAAAACACTGCAATATAAAATAACCTATTATGATGAGAATAATTTCAGCTCTCCAAGGAAACTGTGGGGAGATTTCATCTCATTGCGAATTAGTATGCAGATTGCAGATTTTATTTAACGTACTACTAGTTCACCCAAGTAGTTATCCACAATTTGGATGGATTCAGTTTTCTGAGCTGAGTCGAACCTCCGGGTATACCGCTGATGAGATCAAAACGGCCTTCCGATGTTTAGATCATTTCGACCTGGTTATCAAATACTACTGGTTGACACGAGTGTTATTCATCTACTCATATAAATCGACCAGTAGTATATTGCGTTATGAATTCATGCTCGCTTTCTTGATTACCATTTATGGTATCACATATTATGATCTGAACAATTTTGGTTTCTAAGATGATGAAATTTCACACAGTATTGTGTTAATTACAAATCACCATTTAATCTGCAAACTGTAGTGTGTATTGCCCGAAATTGCAATTGAAAGTAATTGTGCTGTAACCTTCTGTCTGACTTCATCTATTGTAAAATGATGCTAAACCTTATCTTGCTTACATCTTACAATATTCATTTGATTGTTTGTTTTCATCTTCTGTTTTGATTTTATATCTGTTTTGTTATCTTCTATGGCACATTATTTTGATGTTTACACTTCTACACCACGAACCACAATGTATATATGTGCATGTCCTTTTGGTTACTTTTTCTTGACAAACATTATTGTCTACATTATTAATTAAAGTTCATCTGAAATAATCGATGATAGTAATTTGATTGTTTATTTTAATCATATACAATAGTGCAGTGGTACTAATTTGTGTGAAAACTGAAATAACCCAATGATCATGATGTGATATGTGCATTTTGTGTTCATTTAATTAGCATAGAAGAATTTATAGAAAATTTTCACTATAAATCAATAGTTTTCTATACAAGAATGTAACAGAAATTGAAATAATTAACTTGAGCAACAATATGACTTCTGTGATTTGTTATCAATAACAGTCTGATGCATATCTTATAGCCACTTAATTAAAGGTTACTCTTTATGACGAAATACTCTAGCAGACAACATTCTTTTCTGTGTCGTTCGTAGTGTCGATAACAATGCAGTTATTGATTGCTTTGTTCTATGTCGTGCTAAAATTCGATAGGCTATTTCAGTAGAATGCATTTATCCATCTCATATTATTCATTTGTGATTATCCAGTGTAGCGAAACGGCAGGTTTTTTCATGTGTTAGACTGTAAGTTGCATTTATTGTATCTTGCCTAACGATACCAGGTGCAGTTGTTCAGGTTGTATTAAGTAAGGTGGAATTTATTGTAGAGGCTCGTTTCATTGCCTTCAACTTGATTGAGTAATCAGTACCAATGGGGTCCAGCAGGTTGGATGTTAGGACAAATACTCACCGATAACTTTGTCTGGTGGTCGCGCTGAAAGCACGGGGCATTGAATTCTAGCCCAAGTAGTTGGATGATCAACGCGTTTGACTTCATAACCTGAAGGTGCCGGGTTCAACGTAATACTAAAGAGTCCCAGACTAGGATGAAACAGCTGTCCAGTATTCCCTGGTTTTCAGTGGTTCTGTAACTGACATCAATGCATGGTCACACTTGAAACTAATGTGCCACATCATACAGTACCATATAATAATATATAATTTTTCCTTCACGTTCCCAGTGGAACATAGGGCTTAAAGCTTAAAGTTTCTGTAGCAGTGTTTATTTTTACAGGATGGGATTGCTAGCCTCATCCCCAACCTATCCTCTTTACCAACATTTTTCTGGTTTAGCGAGGTAAAAGGAGTGCATCTGTGGCCGGGGATCGAACCCCGGACCATGTGAATGGTCGGCGAGTGTCCTAACCGCTATGCCACCGACGCACTCATACACTACTGCTTCTTATTAATCACTTCACTTTAATACCTACTTGTGGAGTTAAGAAATTACTGTGTGAAATTTTGTAGATACACTGAAGTAGGATGATATTTTTGTAGTGTGTATTTGTGCAGTAGAATTCATTCGAATAACTGAATACTAATCACGATCAGTCAGTATACTGCAGATGTTATTAACAAGTAATGATAAAAGTGAATGCATATTATTCATTCAGTGTGGTGTAAGCTATACTTTTTCACATCAATATAATTTGTTAGTTTATATGCATAATTGTTGTTAAACTGTTCGTTACTTATTTATTTATTTCTATATCCAGCCAAGTGTTGTATCGGTGTTTGAATTCAATATCAGGTATCTTGGCGGTCTGTTGTCAGCTTATACATTCGCTAGAAAACCTGTAAGTGTATCTGTGTGAAATAAAATTATTTGCTTATGTCATAATTTGTTTGTTTGCTTGTTTGTTATAGGTAGTCAGTAAGAAACACTGCATACATATATTTTGTATTTCAATTTTTTGTTGCTTTTTCAGTTTATTGCAAAAGTCCTGCTTTATTAACTTTTGTTGCTGATTTTATATTGCATAAGTGTTTGTGTTAACATAGGAATTTTATCATTAGATGAACTTTAATACAATCTGTGAAAACTATTCACTTCTTAGACATTAGAATGCATTGTATTATAAATTAAAGTACTTCAGTATGTGTGTATGTATGGTGATGATATACACTTTTAACACTGAGTCAACTAGGGATTTTGCCTTTCCTTATTCACCTGCTTTCTTCAGTTAACTAAAGTGATTTTGTTTGATTGTTCATTGCAATAATATTCTATATATCTCTTTTCTTTTCTCATTTTCAAAGTGTATTTATTTGAATTAATGCACTACAGCACTGCAAGATTCCTGATATTTATCGTACTTTTCTCTAGTCTTTATTATTTATAATTGGTTATAAGTGCACGAGTTGATAAATCACTTCGAATGATTCAGTTACAAGGAGTATCGGTTATTATTATTATTATTACTAAGTAATCACCGCTTTATCTACTGGTGTTTCAAGAACCAGTTAACTAAATAGCCTTAAAGTATCTTACATCCTTCTTTGGCTGTATTAAATCTATTAAGTGATTCAAAGTTCTTGCAAACATAGCTATAGTTCATTAGAATAAATGCAAACCTATTTATTGTGAATGCTAAAAGTGTTCTACAGATAAGTTTTCATAGACTGTTTTGCGTAAGTACATTTTACTCTGTACTATGCAGTCTTTTTTAGCTGGTTCTACAATTACCCACAAGCTTTCATTTCGTCCTCACACGATCTGCTCCATTTAACACGCGCATAGCCGTTTTGGGTTCCACCCAGAGACATGGTGCGCGATGCCACTCAACGACTTCCCGAGAGTGTGTCCAATCCATTTTCTATTACTTCCTGGTTGGTTCGTTGTCAGAGTACATTGTTGCTTGCACTTTTTTGTCCATCTGATCTTTTAATAATAATAATAATAATAATAATTGCTTTATTCCAAAAACAGTACTCATGATACAGCAAGGAATTTTCAGCATTCAGTACAATATTGCATCTAATTTACTCAAAAACGACAAAAAAAAATTAAAAATACACAATACATAATAGTAATAAAACGATTGTTATAGCAGCTACGTAGCAAAATACTGTGTGCCATACGGAGAAAAATATGTATAAAGTACAAAATTGTAGTAATAATAGTAATACCAATTAATATAAAATAGCAGAGTAACGATTTAAACGATAGAAAGTGTGACACCATAAAATACAGAAAGATGAGCGATAAAAGGGTCGATTCACCGTGCTAATTACATAGTAACTTGTAAGTTTCACGTCTAACAGAGTCTTCGTCCAATTTTAGATAAGTAAACATAGTCATCAAAATTAAACTGTTTATCACTTAAAACAAACATAGAATACCGTTTAAATTTATTAAATAGCTTACATTTTAATTGGTCAGTACGTCAACAAAGTTTCTCGTTGCTTATTTTTTTTGGCCATCTGGTCTCCAGTATGCAACGATTTTTCAATACTAGCTTTTTGGAGTGTTTGAACCAGGTGATCTGATATTGAATTGGTAATGGTCATTATTATGCTGGTAGGCGTTCCAGAACACGAAAGTATAGGAAGGTGTAGACTTCCTGGTTGGGGTCCTCGGAACGGTAAAAACCAATGGCTGGAGACAACCGGTGATATGGCTCAAAATCGTTCTCAATGGCGCAGATGCATCCACTCTTTGTGACTTATAATATCCACTGAAAATACATTTTTCTTCGTTACTACTATTTTTAGATTTTTAGATTTACAGCTTGATTCCACACTGTATTTTTGGTACAAGTATGGAATTTTCAGCATGGATATCGGCAGCCCAAATTTTGCAGGCCGACCATAGATATCAGGTGTGCGCCGGCGTGGGCTCGAACCCCGGACCATGTGCATGGTCGGCGAGAGTCCTAACCACTGTGCCACCGACGCACATATCTCTGTTTACTGTCCCTATTTCGCGTTTCTTTTTACCTTCTTCTTCTTCTCTGGCTTTGTGTGCTATAAGGAATGTAGCAACTTGAACTGCTGCAAATCGGTGCAAAGTTCTATGTTGAAACTAGTCATTCAGTCCTAAATGCAAAAAAAGAAGACCCTAGCTTTAGGGCCGATATAACTAGCTGCTCCACAGGAGAAGTTAGACTAGTAAACGAATCGTTTGTTGTATCGGTCTTGCGCTGCTTCTTATAGTCAATTTTTAATTATTATTGCTATAGTATCTTAAACAACGATGGTACCGTTTGTATTCATGATGAGTAGTGGACAGAGGTCATCAGTTCCCCTACCAATTGATCAGATTTAATTACATTCGAGTCAGTAGTTGTAAGTAACATTTACCAAATCAGCCACGTTGCTTGTTGGTAGGCGAATAAAGAAACTTGGTGTTTAAAACTGAGACTTTCAGTTTGTTAAACCAATAAACTTAATGACTTCCTGCTGTCTTATTTCAGTCATCCTTCTCTTCTATTTTTACATGGCTGTACTACTGTAAATATAGCATTGACTTAGTTACTAGAATCATTTTTTCAGTTCTTTTGGTAACATCACTTTAACTGGTGATGAGGAATATGATCAAGTTATAGAGTAGTTATGTTACTCATAAAGATGATCAACGTTGGTTGATTTTATTGGCTTAAATGAATAGGATAGTGCACGTCATCATTCGGCATTGATATATTTTATCCCGCACTTCTGTATGCTTTCGTACCGACTGAACAGAACCATTATTTATGTGAATAAAGTATCTAAGAAGTGCTGATAATAGCCAATTAAATTGTAACATTTAGCGCTATTACTAAATAGTTTTGTGTAAAGCCGTTACATATCTTGTTAAATCCTTCTATACACTGAATTTCTGACCAGTAGAAATTGCTTACTTACATCAGTCCTGATTGTGTTATCTAGCCAAGTTTATATCGGATTATAGTTTGGTTTGTTTTGTCTGGTTGTTAACGCTTCCCTGCTTTCATTTCGCGATCACCTTTCTATCTTCTTCTTCTTCTACTTCTATCCTCAAATTTCCGAAAGTGATCACTTCTTAATGATCACTATAGTTTCTTTTTTTAAAATTCATTAATTCAAGTTGTTAGTCGTATTGTTCACATTTCCATTGTTTTAGATTATTCATCAGTGAATGGTATTATTTGTTTGTGCATGTTGAGTTAAACAATGGCACAATGAATAGATAATAGATTTCATGGTAAATTAAACATGTATTCATTGTATAGTGTTTTCAGAAGTATTATTCATTTCTTTGTGCCAGTTAACATGTACAATTTCAGGCACAATTTGTTTTCTTACTTACTCACTTATTGTATTGCTAATTGCATGAATCATTGGTTAAAGGAAGCTTATTTATCTATTGTAAAACTCATGCCATGGTTAAGGTTTAACGCTACCTATATCTGATCATTATGATATTTATCATATAGTTGTGATGCGTTGTTCTAGATGTTCAAAACTTGGTTTATATACTGCTAGTGCAGTGTATTCAAACTACACACCATCTATCTTTTTTTGAGCTATGAGGAATCATGAACATTTATATTGATTAAATACAAATCATTGCTGAATGTATGAATATGCACATGGTTAATAACATTTACATCGCATTGCTTATCTATGGTGATGTGGTTTACCAGTTAAAGTAAAGCACTGTCTTTTCAGCCAGTAGGTCTTAAGTGCCAATTCCACTTCTTATAGTTCTGTATGAGCGATCAAGTAGCATGATTAGCTGTCACGCTATAAGCGTGTGTGGCTCATAGCATAGCCTGACACATGAAAAAGCCGACTACGGTCCACTTGAGTTCTCACTAAACATGTGTTCTCTATATCTCACTTTAATTTGCAATATTTCAAAATCTTGTTTAACGCAAACTTTAGTATTCTACAGTGTGCATACTGTTTTGTTGATTAGCTTGTGAAGTTGTTTTTTTTTTACCGAAAAATCTTGTTGTGTCAGTATTGTGTTGTGTGTTGAGCAACTTCCTTTTTCTTATTTAGCGTAGCGCTATACACTCACTATTATTAAAATCACTGGAAACAAAAGCTACACCAATGCCTTCCGGCTACATAACAGTCTTTCGCTAATATAAACTATGCCTTTTTAAAGTAAATTTACTAGCTTTTCCATTTACTGTATGAATGAATAAATGTCAGCTGGTGTGTTAATTAATGAGTGAAGTGTTATCATAATTGAAATTTCCTTTTCCTCTGTAACATTTGCAATCTGTCATTACTTTTCTACTAAACAAACTAATCAATGTTGAGTAGCAAGTGTTTAATTTTATTGATTTTGCAGTCTTTTCTTAAAAAGTAATCTCTTTTGTAAATCAGGACAAAACAAATCCTATTTATAATTAATCTATTAAACATATCACACATTTATTGTTATGAATAATAAATTGTATTCGAAGCATAGTCCAGTAAATAATATTGTTTGACTGTATGAACAAATTAATATGGAATAATATACTCCCACGGTGCCCAAGTTTTACACATATATTAAAACTAATCTTCATAAATTACATTTTTTTAATCTTCAAGTACCAGAGTGTTTGATTGACAACTGTCAGTTTGGCATTTCAATTTTTGATTCATATTACCTACTGGTGATTTAACCAATTTTTGTTTTGTAGATTTTGCTTAACAAGGCAGTGGAACTTGCTCAGCGTCTGTTACCTGCATTTGAAACACCAAGTGGAATTCCAATGAGTTTAGTCAATTTGAAGACGTAAGTTAACTAGTAGAATATTTTTATATCACTACTGTAAGGAATCAATTGGTGGATAGTGACTAGCAGTGGAATCCAGGATACACATTTCGTCCTACTTGGGACTCGTCATCTGGATGTACCTGCATTTCTCAGTGAGTGATGATGTACCCACCGAGACTCGAATCCAGCGCCATAGTTTCCACCAATTAAATACTAATTAAATGCCCGGACATCGTCGAAGCATCTGCACAAGAAGCCGACATGTCAACCTGAGACCGAGCACCTCGGCCCAATCAGTCGACGGGAAAATCTCAAATCCAATTAAACTACTGTAAGCAATTTAAAAATCATTAGGCATTTAGGTGGGTAATTTATGACAAATGCGTGTTGCAAGTGTCAAGCCATCCAAGTAAAGTAGCCAGTGAGTCGATTAAGAGAACCAAAAATCCTAAAGGGTCTTGTCCGAATACCAACCAGAGTTTTACAAATCACCTCACCGAAACGTCTTGTGGTGAAAGTCCAAAGACTTACGACAAGTCCCAGGTCAGAAGTATAACGACAGACTCAAATAAGGGAGAACTTGTTAAGAACTTATAAATGATTGCATACATAAAGTGTGCTTTTGTTGACTTTCATAGAAGCTTGACTGACCTTTCGTATCATTGTCGAATCTGCATCTTCAAAAAGAGCTTAGTGTTTTTAAATATTGTTGAGCTCTTGTCAGTATATTATCGATTTCGCCTGGTTTAAATTTCCTGAAAAGCAAAACCCAGATGGTTAGTTCTAATGAATACATATTACGATGTTGTACATGATATGAGTTTCTGTCAATCTAACCCTACTCCTCATGTGAAACAAGTTAGTTGACTTACCTCTTTTATTTAAGATTTTATTGGCAATCACCAATCACTAGTTTATCGAATATACTATGTACTTGTGATATTGTAACAAAGACAAAAATATCGCTCTCTCTCTCACGATATGACACCTCTCTTGTTGTCTGAGTTACACGTTTACTATACCATAACAGGCATTACTTCTTACTACAGAGGGTATAGAACTAGTGCATTTCGACTGGTAGTCCTGCCTTTAGCGTGGTTTCCTTCCGGTGGTATTAGTAGTAGTAAGTAGTCAGTAAGCATTAGAAAACAAGCGAGCATGTATCCGGTCATTTTTATCTAACATGCACATGATTATAAATTTGCATAGTAGACATGATGATACTTCCACCATTCTCAAGTTATGAAATGTACAAAAAGATTGTAAATAGTTTGCACGGTGTTCAGTTTTTGTAAATGATTTAACTAGTCATGGTATCGTTAAATATTTCCTGTGTTGAATGGTTATTTTTTGTCACACATTTGCTACTCTTCTGCATTCTTGTTTTCGACAGTTAGTCACGTATAGATTGCAAAAAGTAGTAAAGCAGACGATATAGTCCTTCTAGGCGAAGACGCTGACGAAATGCAGATCCTTCTAAACACCTTGAGCCGCAATCTACGAATTTTGGCATGCAGTTCGCTCCCGCCAAATGCAAGATGATGTTACAGGACTGGACTACATCGACGCCTAGTTTAAAAATAGGAAGTGAAGTGGTAGAGCACGTTGACCGCTTCACTTATTTGGGAAGTACCATCAGCCAGTGCCAACGGGCTGATCTCTGACGAAATCTCAGCACGAATACAGGGGGCTCGTTTCGCATTTGCCAGTTTACGCCGTAGAGTTCTAGGTAAACAGGGGAAATCAATCGACGAAGTCGTGAAGCTACAAAGACTGAGATGGTTAGGACATGTGTTACGTATGCCAAGCCATCGCCTCCCTCGACGAGCAATGTTAGCGGATATAGGGTCAGGCTGGAAAAAAGCTAGCGGCGGTCAAACAAAAACTTGGCACCAGTCAATGAAATCCACAACAGTTGGTCTAAGCCACGTAGGAAGGTGTAGACTTCCAGGCTGGGGTTCTCGGGACGGTAAAAATCGATGGTTGGAAACAATTGGTGACATGGCTCAAAATCGTTCTCAGTGGCTAGCGCAGATGCATCCACTCCTTGTGACTTATGATCTCCAATGAAACTGTTTTGTTCTTCGTTACTACTCCTTTGTCTCACACATCTGCTCACTGTTTCTGTTATGCTTTTCTTGTACTTTCTTCTCTTGCTTCGCGTGCTACACGGAGTGTGGCGACTTGAACTTCCGCACATTTGTGTAAAGTTCTATGTCGAAAACAGACAGACAGACAGACAGATTGCAAAAAGTAACTCTTGTCGTCTATAGTGGTTTTAACATTCATCAACTTATTTTATAGTGTGATTAAAAGCTGTTTACGGATATTCTGTTGACTATTGTCCTGTTTCACCTGATTATACTGTGGTGGTCTTTTGTAGTATTTGTTCCCCCTGCCACAGTTTATTATTTTCCACCTTATTCACCTTACTAAAAAAAGGCAAAATTTAGTGTTTGGTACAGACACACAGGCACACATTCTAATCACTAATAAGGTTCAAGTATTATTACTATTTTCTTTTTTTTCAGTAAGTCAAACGCACTTGTTTTGTATTTATTATTATTACTATTGTTGTTGCTGATGTTGTATTGTGTTCTCGTTACCTTAGTCACTAATGTTACTAGTTAGCCGTGAACATAATTTTACTATTGATCATGAAATGTGTTGTTTTTTGTGTTCTCTTTTTTTTCTTTCGCTTGCTCTCTCTCCCTTTCCCTCAAACAAATCAGGTTAAAGTGTAGTAACCATTGTACAAATTTTCATTCTCACATTGTCCACTTATATGCTGGACTTTGCATTGCAGTTTTAAATGACATTTCTGAGAATTCTTGAGACAATAAACACTATAGAATTGTTATTAAAAGCAGATATTTCCAATGATTCTTGATGAATTTTATTATTCTGGTTATTATTATTATTAAAGTTCCCTGAGCTGGATAACCTGAATATAGAGCTTTTATTATCTTTTTGGTTAACATCTTCAGCGCAGCTTCATTGTAGAGTGAGCTTGTGAAATTTCCATAATAATCTTTGAAGCGCATCCCTTAACATTGTGCTAAAGATTTATTATAACTGGTTTAATAAGTTAAATATTTAAACGAGGTTTATTTGCTAATGTTGCGACATCGGAAGTGATGTAAGAAAAGCTGCCCATGGATGAATATGCATTTCTCTTTTTTACTACTGGTGTCTTTTGCCTACAACCGCATATGATGTAAGATGGTGATGAACATTATGCTGCACTGCGAGTCGCCACAGTCTACACACTCGTGTTGTTAAGTGCTCCTCTTTTGGTTATGTTCACTCATATAATATACAGCGTACAACTGCAATGGAGGCATTCTCCGATTAGGTTAGACATTACCTCGCTTTTCGCTAGGTATTAGTTGTTTATCTTTCATTTCGTCTGGTTTTAGATCATCATAACTTAAATTTTCTCATACACTCAGTAACTTGCATCAATACAATTCTGACATACTGTTATCCAACTCTGCCGAATTTTCCTTATCTGTATACGACATCGTTTCATTCATCATTCCCTTGAATAACTACAGCCTGTGTGTTTGTTTTCCTTTTCTTGAGCTAATTATTCTGGCTTTCTGGAGAAATAGAAGTTTGGCTCATTAGGCCTAAGCATTCAACACTTAGCTGCTGGTCCTAGGTTCGATTACCACTCCACATACTTCAAACTAGATAATCGAGTGGTATGTTTAGCCCTCATGTAATCAGTGTGATTCACGACCGGTACATCGAGAATCTGTCCCGGTTTGCTGTATTCTATCTGTCACTCTAGACACAAAAAGCTTTAGTATGTTTGAAGGTGACCAGAGATATGTCATCCAATTCTATTGCTAAAACTTACGCTGGAGGATGTTGTCTAGAAGTAAGATGAAAGTTTTGCAATGAAATCAACCAGCTCAGAGAACACAACTACTTCAAAATCACCTACCTGAGCTTCAAATCTTCTCTTTTATTTCAAAACCCAATAACATACTAGACAGTTTATATTTGTAAAGTATAATTGCTTCAAACCTGTTTTGAAAAATTACAAATTATACTACAGATTTATTCGGCAAAGTTCATAAAGTCACAACAACTTCGTAAACAATTTATGAACAATAGTTTATGCAATAGTGAATGACTGTAGTAAGTTGGCTGTTTGACAAAATGATGGTCGGTGTTTTTTTTTCATTTCTTCGCCTTCTGAGTGAAACATAGGGCTTATAGCTTTAAAGTTTCAGTAGCGGTAGTGTTGTTTTTATGAGCTGTGGTTCCTAGCCTCATGTCCAACCTTCCTCCTTTCCCAGGTTTACTATCGACCTGTAAACTAAGCTAGTTCCAGAGCTGCATCGACTTGGAGTCCAACTTGTACCGCGCGTGTGTGTACGGCTCGCGAGCATTCTACAATTGAACAACCGGCGCCATACACTTTGATGAGATGACAATTAGTGCATCTATTAGATTATGAACAATAATAAATGAAGCTATTAAGTTCGAAATATATTTTATATTTAATCATTCAGCGTTGAAACATTTCACTATTGATTTTCTTGGAAGATAGTCTTCGTCTTTCTTTTAACAGCCTTTTCTGATTATTGTGTTAAATGTTTTTTCTTTTTTTCCAAAATTTCTTTTAGAGGAGATAAACGAAATTTCATTTGGGCAAGCTCTCGATGTTCCATTCTATCGGAATTCGGCACCTTACATATGGAATTCAAATATCTTTCCGAGTTAACCGGTAATCCAGTGTATGCAGAAAAAGTGAGTTATGCTAAATCTTAAAAAACAAATCTGCAATAAACATTAATGAGTGTGTACATCTTATCACTCATAGGTTGGTAAAATAATACCATTCGAAAATAATTGAAAAATGCATTGCTGAGTTGAAATCAGTTTTTAAGAAGTTAAACGCTATGCATCTAATAGGACATATATAGTTACAAAGTTGACTGAACTCATTAATCAGTGTAGATCTTTGTGCAGAAGTTCAACTGATCAGGTTATCATACCTTGAAAAATCATATTAAATAAGGGAAATGAAATCTTGATGTTACTACCATAGATAAACACGGATAACAGTAAAGAGAATAATATTTAATTGGTGGATGGTGACTAGCAGTGGAATCCAGGATGCGCATTTTGTCCTATCTGGGACTCGTCAAATTCAATAAAAAGGTAAAGAGAATAAGTTACTAAAAAATAGTGATACTCGGAATCTGCAAGACCGTAAGGAATGATTACTTTTGTGACTTTATCAATGTTCTTTAGGTATATTGCTAAGAGTCTTTTTAGAACTACGGTTACACAGCATGTATCTCCTGGCTTGTCCTAGACTAACAGTCAAAGAGTTTATGAGTTGATACCATGGTTTGATTTAGTCATACTTAGTTCTTTTTCAACTTGATCCCGCTTCAGTTAAAATTACTCTTCATAGGAGGCAATGTCTTGACATGAGTAACAAATAACTTAGTCATCTCAATAGGTATACAAAGTGTATCAGCTCGTATAGATATGGAACCAGTGGGAGAAAAAATCCCTGTACCAATTACTTGACTTCCAATAACTTACAGATCCTATAGAAGGTATCATAATGACTTTCTCATATACATTATATTTAGTTTTCTATAGGAGATCTTGGAAAAAAAGGATATGTGAAGGAATTCCAAAGGCATAATCCCTATGTTGCTCATATATAATCTATAATCCCAGTTTTCAATTGAAATCTTTTACTATCCCATTGAGGACTTACCCTCCAAATCTTTTTCATTTTAAGCTTTATATTATAGCATGATGTGTTTAATTACAACTTATTTTGCTTACTAACTCGTGTAGTGTGGTGTAGTGTATATGTTAAGAAAGAGAAACGCGTCAGTTACTTGCACTCACAATCGTCATATCGTTGGTCATATATATATATATATATATATGTATATATATATATATATAGAGAGAGAGAGAGTTTTAATCACTCACAGTCACCGTGATGAATTTAATTTGTACTTTGTACCGATTGCCTGTTTCTTTTTCCTAATCATTCATTTGATTGTTGTTCTTACATAGCCTTTGCTAATCAATGAATCAAAACAAATAAATAAATAACCATGAAACTCAGGCGTGTTATTATTTCAATGCTTATTCAAAAAAGTTTTGAAGATCCATCCTTGTATAGAACTAAATAATTATCATAATACTGATGACACTAGTACATTGTTATTTATTTAATATTAAACAGATTTATTCGTCAGCTGATACATTAAAACATACAAACTATGAATTTAAAAAGAGTATATCTAGTAGTTAACTAATTGATTGTATAATTATACTTCCTTATTTTTTAATGATCACCATTCTATCATCTATGACTCATAAGTAGTAACTGGCACTCATGAATCAGTCTCAGTCGACTAATTGTTGATTCATTGGTATACTGTAGATTTCACCTGAATTTTTTTTTAACTTTCCATTCGGTATACATAGTGAAAATAGTTACTTTATGTGATTAACAAATACCATAGCATGAGAGCATAATTGATGTATATGCAGAATCTTGACTACATATGTGTGTACACCTATGCTTGTTAGTAAATTTTCTGCACAACAGGTATGGCAATTTAAAACAGAAAAAAACTTTAGACTTCTGTATAAATTGTTACTTAACTGCTACTGTCGATTGATAGACTTTCACAAGTATTATAGATGGTTTACTATTTCACTTCATATATATATTGGCGATGTTAAACGAATTATATGGTATGTTTTTCCTTCATTTTTTGTTTCAAAGCAATACACATAGAGCAGGCAAAGTGTACTAGTAATTCACATGTTACTTTGAAGAAGTGTTATTACACGTTCTATTAAATTTTAACTCAATTAGTAGCTTCCTTTGAGTTTGTTTCACCATACTACTAAATCACACAACGGAACAGTATTGTACTTCCGGCATCCTAAAGTTTTAGAGATTGATTTAATTATGGTGTTACAGAACAGTAAATCACGTTGGTGAACATTAATCAAAAAGACGTAAATTGCACACACACCCCGCTCCAAAAAAAATATTCTTCGCGTAACTCCGCTTCACCACTGTATTGTAAAAGGTTAGGAAAATGCCCGTAAAGGCCATTTGTTCTTAAAAACTGTACAGCTTTGAAGCGAATTTGCGATAATAAATATCAGTCAGTAAATAATACCATTTTTTCGCTGTACGATAAGTCATAAGTCAGCTACTACTGTAGCTTCTAAATTATACTCTTACATTAACAAATTTCTAATACCATCTAAAATGATAATCTTAATTTGGTTCGATCAATGTGTCTCTTGGTATAAATAACAACAAATGAAATCAATTTCAATCAATCGATATGTTTATATATATATATATATATATATATATATATATATATATATATATCCTTTAAGGTGTCGGGGGAATTTGTGGTTTGTAATTTTAGTGTGTGATTTTTAAGGAATGTAAAATTTCCTTTAGGTGAAAATTTGTTGGTTTCTTTACGTTCCCAGTGGAACATAGGGCTTCAGACTTAAGGCCTGAAGCTTCGTTAGCAGTGGTGATTATATATATATATATATATATATATATATATATGGTTTTCAAACTGACTCACCTTTTTCCTTTATTATTATACTTTTGATATTGCCTGTTTGTTGTTGCCGAACAGATAAATATTTTTCCTCTTCCTTTTGTATCAATATCAACTTTGTTCAATATTATTTTGTCGGATTAATGAGCATAGATTTTTTACACCTATTTACTTTGAATATGTCATTTTCCCAGACAGTGACTTTTTGTCTCATTGGGAAATCTGTTGTATACGCTTTTTTATTTCAGCCAATTTCGAAGTATCTTTTTAACGGTGTCTTTAACCTGTATTCGCACTAGATATCCCTAACGATGCATCGTCGAAATTCTCATCGATTTCCGATCTTAGATTTTCCTTCCGTCTGTTCCATCAGTTCTGCATGTTCTAGATAAGAGGATAAACAGTTTAAATATTATCCGCACATAAATGTGTTTTACCTAGGGTGTAATGTGTCATTTGTGCCAACTGTCAGTATACTAAAGGAACAAAGTGAATAGGAAACATTTGTTTGACTAATAGAAACTAAATAACACTTGGTGATAAAAAAACTAGTGCACATATACTTCGTGCTTTTTTAGTACTCGTTAGGTCTTTACTTCTACTTTAATAGTACTTCAGTATGATGAATTATTGTCATTATTATTTTTTAAACAGCTATCCTGGAAATCAATGTGTTTTTTTCAAATGGGTAATCTAGGTTTTGTGAAAGGATTAAATCCTGCTATAAATTCTCCATTGCATCAGTGAGTGAGTTGTTCATATATATGACATGAACAAGTGATCAGCATAACCGTACCAATTGACATTTCTTAATCATTCAACATAATCACATAAAATGGTTGGTCGACTTCTGGGCTTATATTGTCTTTAAGGGTCTTTAGATTCAGTAGTTATATATCGACTCTTGATGAAATGGTATGAAATTACATGTAATGGTACAAATTTATTCTCTTATTATTTTAAGCGATTAAGCTAATTTCGATGATATCGATAGAAATCTATCCGTTTATTTGAAAAGAATACGTGATTTTTTTGTTTTAACAATTTTAGGTGATAAGATAATAATAGGATTTTAAAATGCTTTGTCAATGTAATCAGTTTCGGCATGTGTGTTATATGCTTTGCTAATTCAATTTTTAAGTGTTTTTATCAATTGAACAAAGGTAATCTCCTTATATATCTATTTTTTCTTTCGTTTTTTGTTCATATATTTTTATTTTATAGGTAGATAATATTCGCAAGATTTTGCAAGAAGTCGATAGACCAAATGGTTTATTTCTTAACTATATGGATCCTCATACTAAATCATGGTGTGGTAATGAAGCTGGTTTATCTGCATTAGGCGATTCATTTTATGAATATTTATTGAAAGAATGGATTCGAACTGGTTATCGTGATAAAAAAGCTCTTGAATTATATAATTCTAGTTTGGAGGCATTTCAACGTGTAGGCTTATTTCGTAGGAGTTCACGTGATAACCTACTGTATGTTGGCAATTACAAAATTGGCAGTGTGACTAATTCAATGGATCATCTGGCCTGTTTTGTTGGTAAGCTTTGAGGCTACTTTTATCATATGCCCTAATTTTAAATGATTTATAATGCAAGTTATGTTTTTAGGAAAAGTGCCTTATCCCATCAATTTTGTTATCGTGTTCTCGAATTTATTCTCCTAAGAACATAATACGGGAAAGGTGAACAGTTTATGTTGCGATCTCAAATAATTAGATTTTCAAAAATCTATCAATTCATGATGATATGCTGTTGTACTTCAGGATATTACCTCTTATATAATGACATGCTTTTATGATACAAATATTCATTGCATCATTTATAAACAGCCATCATTAGATGTGGTGAGCACGAATACAACAATACATTGGGTCTACAAAAGAACTGTAAGAGATATAAACATCTCGGATGTTTTGTGTTTAATGTCACAAAAATTTGAAAACCTACAGTCGGTAATCGACAAGTTGACAGAAGAGGCAACAAAGACAGGACTTCAAATGAAAATGGAGAAGACAGAAGCGATGAAGATAACCAACCAAAAAATAACAAGCACCAATCACTATCAACGGGATAAATTTGAACGAGGTGTTTTCCTTCACTTATTTGGGCAGCATCGTTTCAACTACAGGAGCTGGCACAAATGATGACTCTGAAATCAGTGTTGAAATCTTCTGCACTTCTGGATGCAGAACAAGGTGTGAATTTTCAACGCTAATGTCAAATCAATTGTTCTATGTGGTTCAGAGACTGTCAGCATCACCAAAAGCATTTCCAACAGGCTTCATACTTTTACCAGCAGCTACTCTCGCACTATACAGAAGAAAAGAAGACTCGTCGAGAAGGTAGTCTGTCAGTAACCCAACCAGGGACCAGTCACCTAACAAATAAAGTCTCTTGTAATAATACAGTTTCAGAAGCACTCTATATACCTGGTATTATTCATTGACTTAATGCCACTTGGCTCTCAGTTCAAATCTGACTGCGCCTAAGTCGACATTATCAGTCAGTTGCAGTAAACACCGGCCTATGAATAGAGTGGTGACTGAATATTCAGACGATGCTAGCTAACAAAATAATTAATTCTATGATACTAATTAGTAGATTTTCGTTGATCCAGCTAGTAATTTAGGTAACCTATACAATAATAGTTGAGAATGTATTCCAGCTAAGCAACTATGAGATAAATATATATAGTGACCATAAATCATTCGTTACCATAGTAACTAATCGTACAGCAACATAGGCTGAGTAGTAGGCGTCTGTTAAGGTGGCGTAATCTGATTGGCCGTTTTTCTGACTGGTCGATATTTATACAGTTTGTGAATGATAGGCTATCGAGCTAGGCTGTGAATGCACATGATAAACTCAGTCTACTGCATAAAAAAATGAGGCCCACAGTAGGTTTCTCCTCCTGCGTAAGCCATAAACTATCAGTCTTTTTAATCTTGCAGTAAACAACATTATTGATAATGAGTTTAACGGCAATACCGAAGTATCAATATATGTCATCAAACTCATGAACAAACTCCTAGTCATCATTTCGGTTCGTAGCAAACTCACAGGGGAAATTGTAAGTCACAAATAGTATTTATATAGACTGTCGTCTGCTAATTTCCATTTTGGAAATCAGTTGTTGACAATTGTCTCACATTCCTCTATGTATGGTGAATTTTAAGTTTGCATTGTTCTAGCTGATAACTGTTCCATAATTTTGCGGACAGTTAATCAAAGGATGTAATTTTTTCCATATCTTAAATTTAAAGCTCCATACTTTATTTTTACGAGTTTCACCACGGATTGATATCAGTTGAAGGATCATTGAAAACCAGGGAGTACTGGACGGCTGTTTCATCCTAGTTTTGGAATCATCGGCAGTACGCACCAACTTGGGATTTGAACCCATACTTTATGTTGCTTAGAAATTGCGTGCCACTACCCATATAACTTATAAAATAAAATCTTAGGATGATCAGACTAAGTTTCATGATAATCAAAATTACCGTGTTGCTTAAGTTGAAAGCGTAGTGTACAAGTCGACTTAATCCATGAAATGTTAAAAATCAATGTTTGGAGACCGCATACTTCTTGATTGATTTTTTTCACTTGCTACTGAGAATTATGACTGTTCGGATTGGTAGATTTAGGAATACAATAATTCTTTCGAAACGTTATTTTAACTGCCTCTTGACTTTTTTTGAAATAAACTAGCTACGGTGATTTTAAATCTATTTGAATGACTGTTTTAATCCTACACTTTTCGATTTAAGTAACCCCAATATTTGAAAAATATTTGTCATACTCAATAGAGAAAAATTCAGCAGTTGTAGTGTAACACAGCTTCGTATCACACTTTGACTGTTTTTCTGTTGTTCATTTTTTGTAAGTTACAAATATTATCTGAATAGCGACATTTTGGTGTTTTAACCAATTGAAAGTTACTTGATTGTCACTTTATAACCTAACGATAAAAATAATAATAAATTTAATCTGAACTGTGTTTATCTAATATACAGGATTTTCAGCAGAGTTTATTGCATGTTATTTTGTCTTCGTCCAGAACCCTCAAATAAAATATTAGTTGACAGCAGGTCGGGCGATACAATGTTATTTTATCTGAATGCAAACCAATCCATCTCTTCTTGGTCTCCTTCCAGAAATGTACAGCATTTGGTTGACAGCCATTTATAAAAAGTTCAGGAGTACAACATTTTGAGAGCAAAGAACACAAATTAATAACAGTTATCTCATGTATTGGGATACGTTGCCACCCAGGATTATGCTTCTTCTCATGTTTAATAGAAATTTGCAAATCAGCAAGTTTTAAACATTTTTAAATCCTCGCTAGAGTAAATAATACTCATTTATTCATAATTAAAAACACAGTTTTTGTTAAGCGAAGAAATTTCTTTTCAACGACTTCATTTTCAAGCTGTACAGTCGTATTTATACTACAGAAATAGGTTATTAAGTGGCTTTAAATAATACTATCGGATGTCATATTTCATTAGATTTAATAAACAAACTGGACGAGAAAAGTTATACGCAGTGTGTTGATGGAGGTTTTCGGTAGCCCAAACATCAATGAACTATTCCTGTTTCATCCAGCTTTTTCAACTTTAAATTGATGGTTATGCATACTATCATGACTACACACTATTATATATATGGCCTGTCATTGTATAATTTAGATAATGTGTCTTATCCATTTTAACCTTAGGTGGTATGCTTGCACTCGGTGCATCCGATAAAAACGATCCTTGGTTTCAACGTGGTGTTGAAGTTACAGAGACCTGTAGAAGAAGTTATGCATCTACTTCACTGGGTCTTGGTCCAGAAATATTTTCATTTACTGAAGACTTATCTGCGATTGCTATTTCTAAGTCTCATAAGCATTATCTTCTACGTCCAGAAACAGTGGAATCATACTTTTATTTATGGCGTTTCACTAAAGATCCAAAATACCGTGATTGGGCATGGGATGTTGTCCAGGTAATATTAAAAGTTTCATAAAATACTGCATAAGTATAAAATTTTCGTTTTGTTTACCCATATCCGTGTACAATTTAACTGTTAGTTCTCCACATGTGTGTCATGATTTGTTTACATTCATGTTTGAATCTTATTTTGTGGCTTATCCTGTGAGATTTGGATTTGATCCTGATAGAATACGAGGACGCATTGCACAAGTTCTCTTTCATTTAAAACAAGTGTGATTGACTAGTGAGAGTATGTACAAGCTTTATGATAGACAATTGGGGAATACTTCCATATTAATTTGTTTATTAGATATATCATTCGGTGAAACAGTATTATTTGCTAGATGATGTTTCGAACATAATTTATTGTTCGTAATCCTATCACTTACGTCAAGTCAGTTCCTCCACATGGTTCAAAGACTTCCGACTTTTATCAACAACCTACCTTCTCTGCGTACTGAATATCAGCAGATAACAACAAGGAACTCTGGGAACAAACAAACCAAGAACCTATCTCCAAACAAATAAGCCAAAAGGATGGATTGGATGCACACTTCGAGGAGACCGTTGAGTGGAACCTGAATGGGAGACTAAGATTTGCTTGTCTAGGGTGACAGGGAAGTGACTGTGTGAGAAGGAGATGAGAGCTCATCGACAGTCATGAATACAAATAAAGAAGAGTGAAAAGAACAGGATGAAACGGAGATGTCTTATATGTGTTATGTTCCACTCGGAACCTAATGGAATAATAATCATGGATATATAACTGTAGAACCTGGTGAATAAGTTATCGGGAAGAATATTCTTTGTTCGCCAATCAGTTGTGTGCAATTCTTTGTATGTCTTTTTCCGTCAGGTTTTTTTCCCAGTCATTTGGCTTTAAGGTTAGTGAACATCTCTAAGATCTGCTATTCATTAGGCTATTAAGGCCATAAATAATGACCTGTGTGACCATTGCCTAGTGGAAATCATGTTGTAAATATTATAACTTTTAGGTCTTGAATGCGTGTTGAAATCTTTCGTTTAAGTGTGTAATGTGATTACTTGATTAGGTGACACAATATTGTTAGTTATCATATAAATCATCATACTGTCTCATAATTTTTAGCTGTCATGTGCAAGGTGTACGCGCTGGTGTGGGGAAAGTTATGCTTACTGCACTTTATTTTCTACTGATACATCTCTTTTAAAAATATTATACAACTTTTTATTTCAGGCTCTTGATAAATATTGTCGTACAGGAGCAGGCTTTTCCGGCATTGAAGACGTCTACTCTTCTCAACCTGAATACGATGATGTTCAACAATCCTACTTCCTAGCAGAAACATTGAAGTATCTTTATCTAATATTTTCTGAGGATACTTTATTGCCACTTGATAGATGGGTGTTCAATTCTGAAGCACATCCGCTACCTGTTCAAAATAAAGTTAAACTTACTGAAGTCCAGTAATTTAATATTTTTCAATTTTACAGTTGGGATTGATCTCTTTATGCTTCATGTTCATAATTTTTTTTTCTCATATTGTTTTTATTTTGCTTCCATTGACCTGTGAGTTATGTGCAATGAGAAGATGTTTCATGTATATCTTATGAAGTGTTCTGTGAATAGAATAAACACTTTTCTACTGTTTAGCAAATAAGATTATCAAAAACATATAGAAAGTAAATAAAACTAGTCCTATTATAAAGTAATAGATGTTCTTTATTTTAACTGAAAAGTTTCTCGGGTCTTCTGGAATCTCGCCTTTCCCCCTCTCTCTCTCTCTCTCTCTTATGCTTCTGTCTTCATAATACCGTATTAATGTTGTCTGTTCTTCTTGTCAAAACAGTCTGTGATATTTTCCAATGGCTAATGGAATATCTGTTTCAGCACCACTCTCTTCTCATTCTGATCACATTCTCTTAATATTGTTATTTCCTGTTTCATCTATAGGTATTCTCTGTCTTATTTCTTCTTACTTTTCTCTTTTTTGGATAATTGTCCAACATCTTTAGAGAAAGCAGTAATTTATTCGTTCGTCATCTTTCTTGCTGTTTTTTTCCTGTGTATTCGCACTGTTCTGTGTTATATTTCTTGTTCATATATGCACAAAACATAAACTGATTGGTTCTCTTTTTAGTTTTTTTTGTTTGAATAATTGATGTTTTATCTTGTTTCCAGAGTGTATATATTTCATTCGGAATATAAGTTTATCACGAATCTGGCATTGTGATATGATTCAGCCTCTCATCATCATCATTATTATTATTATAGGTTTAAACAAAGCAGATTGAGCAGGTTAAAATGACGTCATTACATTTAGTTGATTCTTCTCAACCTTATGCAACCAAATGTAATATATAATCAATTCAACTACTCCTGTGGAATCAGTCATATTGGTCTTTATTGTAGCATTTCAGTTTTTTGTCCTCGTGACAGACACAAAAGAAGTTAACTAACCACATAGGTGTATATATTGAATTCGAAAACCTGTATAGTCAGACCAAGGGTCTAGTTTCATGCTCCAGTATGGAAATAAAACGCTTTTAGTCCAGCCTAGTAGGTTGCTGTTATCAATACAAAAATATCAAATACGTCTGTAAAAGCTTCTTGACGTAGAACATGGAGAAGAACTAAATAAATTGATTAATCACAAAAGACTGGTAGTTACAAAACTTGATAAATGATTATGGCTAGTTCTCCTCGATACAGGTGATTATATTGAAAAGGTAAATTGTATGTTGAAATATAAATAGAGGTTTTAAACATTGGAGGAAAGAGAAGTTCTAAATAAAAAAGAAAGTTAAATAGCTAGACGTTTGAAGAAATTGCTGTTTAAGAACAAATACTTCGTCAAAGTTTATATAGTGGACTCAGACCCATTGGCATATACACACCAAGATGATAGGCCTCACCCAAAGCACATAAACCTGGAGTGCTAATAAGGCGAATTCCATGGGTTCAAAATTCACGCTAACATGCTTTAGCTATATTTTTCTAAAACCTTTACATGAACAGATAGTGATTATATATATGGTGTGAAAAATGTGCTTGAATTCACAGACATTCAAAGATATTAACATTAAAGATAAAGCTATGATATCTATAGACATAACATCTATAATTACAAATAAATCTCTGATTGAAACAGTTAACTACGTGTGTGTGTGTGTGTGTGAATTGATAAATAAAGTCAATAAATATTGGGATCCCAATAGAATTCCTTGAAGAATTTATACTTACGTGTACTATGAACGTAAATTCTAAGTTTGGCAATGAACTCTACAGACAAATGGATGTGCTGTCATTGGGCTCCCCAATGTGAGTTATGTGTTAACAGATTCCTTTCTAAGTATACTTGAAAATGGTCCATTAACCAGTTTTATCACAGATTTCTCGTTCTGTCGCCGATATGTGGATGATAGGTTCATCTTTTGTGAAAATGACGTAGATAGGCTCTCAGTAATAGTTCAGTTTGATGAGTTTCATACAGCTATCAAATTAATATGTAAAGAGGCATCGTGAGAGAAAATCGTCTTAGACTTCCTTCTCACAAGACCAAATGGTAATGTAAAAACAAATTTACGTATAAAAGGTACATAGACAGGACAATATACACATTTCCATAGTTTGTTACTTTCTAGTAAAAGAGGAATTCGGTGTGAACACTTAGGTACAAAGTTAGAAGATCAACTTAAGACTGTATACGGCACCTCAGTTAAGAATAGCTTTCCGGAAATTTTCCCAATGTAACACATGGTCAAGAAAATTGTGAAAAATGTTCTGTATCTGTAAAAATAGCGTTTATATATACGATCGCAATGTAAAGGTGACGTACCAAGTGAAGTAATAACCGACTTATTAAGAAAGTTTTATATTTTACAAAACGTTGAGCGGAATACGGATGCCAAGTTGGTGACAAACATGGTGACCACGTCCACCTCTTGTCTACACCAACAACTTATACAACAGCTATCTGATTGCTCAGACCGATTTTTAAGCGAGAACACAAAGCGAGCTGAGACGGAAACGTATATTTACAAAAGGAAACAGATATATATATATACAATGGCATAGGTGTGAAAAGTGAGAATCCGTTGGTTGTCTGTGTAGCTCTTTGTGAGACAACTGATTATTTCAGACAATCTTTCCATCCACATATCAGGAAGTCGATTCGAAGTACTCTTAACGCCGTTTAGCTACAACTCACATTTTCCACGCCCAATTGTAATTGCCTGACTGAAAGACGAAGTACTTACGCAAGCCACCTCTTCTTGTATCTATCGATTCATCTACTCCTGTGGAACCAGTTATATTGACCTTTGCTCTGGGGAATCGATTTCCCGTGCCTAGGGACACTTAGAAACAGAAACATAGTGTTGCGTGACTGCAGAGCCCAGGGGACAACTGCTTGAGCCCTGTCACCTACGGCCTGTTTGAACTGGTTTCATGGATTGGTTCCGTATAAACTTACCACCGTTTACGGACGATCGCAGGGTAAGTCGGGATGTACAATTTTTGCGGTTGACCTTTTCTAACCCCCTTTCTCAAGAGTGAAGCGACAGCATAGCTGTCATGCTGGTTGTCTGAGGGTAACACCCCACTAATGTTACATCCTTATTCCCCAGCAGTACAACTTCTCCCACAGACCACCAGCATAGTGTGGAAAAAAATTCTTACACTAAATGGTAACTGCTTTTAGTCTAGTCAATATCCTTACAATCTTCCTGACATGGTGGGACCTGCAGGAACAATAATTCCAACCAGTGTAGCCTGTTAGGTCACTGCGATATGCCAGCCGGACCACCACGTCAAGGTAGCTGAGAAGGGAAATCAATAGACGACGCTGTGAAGTTACTTCGATTGAGATTGTTAGGACATGCCTATCCATCACCTTCCTCGACAGTGGGTAATGTTAGTTAACATAGGATTAGGTTTGAAAAGAGCTAGTGGTGGCCAAACCAAAACATGGTATCAGCCAATGAAATCTACTTCAGTTAGTTTAAGCCAGTCACGTCGGGAGATGTAGACTTCGTGGTTGGGGTCCTCGGGACGGTAAAAACCAATGGCTGGAGAAAGTTGGTGATATGGGGCAGATGCATCCACTCTTTGTAACTTATAATATCCACTGAAACTATGTTGTTCTTCGTTATTACTATTCTTTTTGTCTGATATATCTGTTTATTCTCTCTATTTCGAACGTCTTTTTATTTACTTCTCTTGCTTTGTGTGCTATATGAAGTGTGGCAACTCGAACTGCTACACATCAGTGCAAAGTTCTATGTTGAAACCAGTCAGTGGCTGTGCGTAAAAACGGAACACATGCTGTCATTATTGCTACCTGGTCTCCTGTAAAGCCCGTAAATTTATAAATTCTGTACTGTTTTTTCTTAAGTTATCTCATATTTAGTTTAAGGTTGTGTATACTGTCACACAAAGATGCTTTTGAACTGTAGTTTATTGGTGTTGATGATCTGATGTCACTAAGGCTTATTATCTAACTATAATGTGTATATGTGCGTCGGTGGTATAGCGGTTAGGATGCTCGCCGACCATGCATATGGTCCGGGGTTCGATCCCCGGCCGGCGCACTCCTTTACCTCACTGAGCCAGAAATAATGCTGGTAAAGAGCAAAGGTTGGGCATGAGGCTAGCAACCCCATCCTGTAAAAATTAAACACTGCTATAGAAACTTCAAGCTACTAGCTTGGAGCCCTATGTTCCACTGGGAACGTGAAGGAAAAATTATTATTTAAAAATTATTTATAATGTGTATATAATTATGCAACCTGATGAAGTTATCGAAAAGAATATTCTTTTTCACCAATCAGTCTTTGAGAATTTTCAATCAGCATCCTTAATGTCATTATAAAAAATATTCGGTTGGAAGAAAAAGTAACTGCTACGGAAAGGTCACTGAAGCCTACGCAGGAACTGGTGCGGAATCATGCCTCTGTCTACCACAACCAAGATATTAAGCTGCATCAACCAAAAGATACCTTAGATTGAATACTTACATATGGTTAAGAGACTCGGCTTACACATCACCAGAAGCACTTCCAGCAGGCCACTGCAGACTTTCATCAACAGATTCCCCCATCGCCCGATAGTGTAGATCAGATGGCTGTCCACAGATAATAAGCAACATGGAGCTCTGACAATAAGACAGCTAAGAAACTATTCCTCAACAAATATGAGATAGATTAAGCATATACTGAGAGGACTCATCATCACACGCCAGGTAGTGGAATGGGGCGATATGAGTTAGGCGTTGCTGCCCTACAGATGATTATATGTAAAGGAAATGAAAAATTGTGGGCACTCATGGAGTAAGTTGAATGTGATGACAGAAAAGTGAGTCATATTTGCCATATTAGTTTGTTTATTAGATGTATCACACAGTGAAACAGTATTATTTACTAGATGACGTTTCGAACAAAATTCATTGTTCATAATCATATCAGTCATAATCACACGGCTTCGTATTTACCTCAGACTAACGGTCGGTACCTTCATATATTGATGTCATTGTTAGGTCTGACCACACCTAACTCCCTTTCCATTATAGTTATACATTAGTTGGTTTTATTGATATAGGAAAACGTTGGCTCAGTATGCCTAACACATGTTGCTAATCTTTCAACCAATCTAAGCTTTGCATTCTTGTTGATTAACTTACACTGCGTGGCATCATTAATGTTGATCACTTCGTTCCACATAACACAACATATTAAACGAAATGATCTATGGTCGAAAAGGTATGATTTTTCATATCTTCTACTCCCAAAGATCAAGTAGGATGCAGTTCATCGCTGCACAGTAAACGCGTCTTTTGATGGATAGCTGGACAGCAAACCTGTGACACAAGTTGGTGGATATCAAACGAGTTCTTTGTATCCATCTTGTGATTTTATCAGTTGTCAGTACATTAAGGAGATGTTAAACATGCTCAAACACTTTATTTCCTATCCTTATACCATGAGTTGGCGCTGAGCATTACTGCGTCATAATCGTGCAATTGACAAAGGTGAGTTGCATGCCAACCGTACTGCGATTTTTGTATAATGTGTTCTCTCGCCGACCATGAACATGGTCCGGGGTTCGATCTCCTGCCGATGCACACCTGATATCAATGGTTGGCCTGCGAAAATTTGGGCTACCGATATCACATGCTGAAAATTCCACACTTGTACCAAAAATACGGTGTGGAATCAAGCT